ACCCTGAAGTTCAAGAGACAAGTCATTTTTTGCAATGGAAATTGAGCTTTGGCATTAACAATGGAGAGAACGGGCACACATAGACAGATAATTCATTCAGACATGAGCTCAGTCAGACCATATTCCAGGCTAGCCAGACACACAAACCAGCTCCAGTTCAGAAGTCATACAGCTGTGTTCACACAGCACTGTGCCCACACCAATAAAACCTGCTGAGAGGCTGGGTATATTAAGCTGGGCACAGTCTTACGCTGTCTGGCCAGCTCCAAACAAGGACCGAGGATTCTGGGTCTGTCTGCATTCATCCATGGAGATATGCCCCTGTGCTGCAAGACCTCTGCACACCTCTTCTGAAATGATTGGTGGGAATGATGGGTGCATAGGGAGCTGGCAGGGGTGATTGATGAGCTGCTCTCGGCCATCTACCAGCATTCCTGGTTAAATGGAGAGGTCCCAGAGGATTGGAGGCTTGCCAATGTGACTCCCAGCTACAAGAAGGGCCGTAAGGAGGATCCAGAGAACTACAGGCCTGTCAGCCTGACCTCGGTACCAGGGAAAGTTATGGAGCAAATCATCTTGGGTGAGATCACACAGCATGCGCGTGGCGTCCAGGGGATCTGGCCCACCCAGTATGGGTTGATGAAAGGCAGGTTGTGCTTGACCAACCTCATCTCCTTCTATAACTGGTTGACCAGACTGGTAGACAAGGGAAAGGTTGTTGATGCAGCCTACCTAGACTTCAGCAAAGCCTCTGACATGGTCTCTCACAGTATTCTTCTGGGGAAACTGGCTGCCTGTGGCCTGGACAGGTATACTCTTCTTTGGGTAAGGAACTGGCTAGAGGGCTGTGCCCAATTGAGTAGTGGTTAATGGAATTAAGTTCAGCTGGCAACCTGTTACAAGCGGTGTCCCCCCCAGGGGTTGGTACTGGGCCCATCTTGTTTAATGTCTTCACTGATGACCTAGATGAGGGGATTGAGTAACCTCAGTAAGCTTGCAGATGACACCAAGTTGGGAGATAGTGTCAATGTGCCTGAGGGTAGAAAGGCCCTTCAGATGGATTTAGATAAGCTGGATCACTGGGCTGAGGTGAATGGGATGAGGTTCAACAAGGCCAAGTGCCGGGTCCTGCACTTGGGCCACAACAACCCCATGCAGCACTATGGGCTTGGGGACGAGTGGCTGGATGACTGTGAAGAGGAAAGGGACCTGGGGGTGTTGGTTGATGCTCGGCTGAACATGAGCTGACAGTGTGCCCAGATGCCAAGAAAGCCAATGGCATCTTGGCCTGCATTAGAGATAGTGGCCAGCAGGAGCAGGGAGGTGATCGTCCCCCGGTACTCAGCACTGGTGAGGCCGCACCTCAAGTATTGTGTTCAGTTTTGGGCCCCTCACTACAAAAAAGACATCGAGGCCCTGGAACGTGTCCAGAGAAGGGCAACAAAACTGGTGAGGGGTCTGGAGCACAAGTCTTATGAGGAGTGGATGAGGGAGCTGGGATTGTTTAGTCTGCAGAAGAGGCTCAGAGGAGACCTCATTTCACTCTACAACTTCCTGAAGGGAGGTTGTGGTGAGGAGGGGTTTGGCTTTTTCTCCCAGGCAGCAAACAGGACCCGAGGAAATGCCGCAAGTTGTACCAGAGGAGGTTTAGGTTAGACATGAGGAAAACTTCTCTCAGAGAGTGGTCAGACACTGGAATGGCTGCCCAGGGAGGTGGTGGAGTCGTCACCCCTGGCAGTGTTCAAGAGGCATCTGGATGAGGAGCTATGAGATATGGTTTAGTAGCTTGTGGTAGCAGTGGTAGTGGGAGGACGGTTGGACTAGATGATCTTGTAGGTCGTTTCCAACCTTGTGATTCTATGATTTTTTTCATATTTTGTAAACTAGAGCCCAGCACCATAAAATTTAAGATTTTAAGTATCTACAGTACTCCCTTGTAGTTACTCCAATAAAGACTAAAAAAAAAAAAACAACTCTCAAAAAAGAGTAATAATTACTAGCACTACAAGGCAATGAGGGCTGGGGCAATCAAACACAGAAGTACTTCCAAAAGCTCTGAAACACAACTGTCCTCCATAGCAGTAGTTTCTCCCTCGGGCATTTATTCTGTTGTGGCACTGAAGAATTAAGATTTTGTTCTTGTCAACATCTCAAAAAGAGAGGATGCATCTTAAATTCTATTTGTGACTATCTCAAAGCAAACAGATAGAAAATTAAGCTATTCTCTGAAAACAAACAAGCAGAAAAACCAAACCATTGAACCTTAGTTGTTATGAAAAGCCAGAAAATTTTCCTGTGAAAGGAGATCATGTAAAACTGCAAATCACTTGGTCTCTCAAGCTTTGCCTCAAAGATGCATACAACCAAACTCATCTTTGTCTGTACAAAGGAAATTACTCAGTGTTCCAAGCACAGGTAGAAGACATGCCTTAATAACCTACTGACATACAAACCAAAGGACAGGTGTGCATTGCTGAGCTCAAATAACGAGCCCCAGAGATCAAGGAATAAAAGCAGAACGTGAACACATTAATAACATTGAGTTTTCCTTAATAACAAATGCCCTGGAGCCCTAAGGCTGACATGACTTCTCCGTTTTATATTTTCTTCATTTTCTTCATTTAAAAAGATTAAACAAATAATAATAAAAACAGCCAACAAAAGCAGTTTTTGTGAGCTACCTACTCAATTTTTAGGAAATGTGGCAAGCAACCATTCAATTACACCATGCTATTTGTGATTTGTGCCAGCCCTTTCATTCTGGCCAGCGAAATGGCAGATAGTAAGTTAGCAGAATATGAAACTTGTGCCTTTATATCAAAATGATTTCTTCTACCTTTAACTCTTCTGTTGTCTAAAATGAATATTACATGTTTTATGCTATCTGAAAATACTCACTTGTAGTGAACTAGAGACTGCTGAATAAAACAATCATGTCAATACTTAAGGCACCTTCATCAGCCTTCAGATGTGAAGACATGAACTGGACAAGTTTATCCTATTCAAAAAGCAAATATAGTCTGAGTGGTAGCTTTTGAAACAAGTTTTAAGTGTTCTCATACACATACAAAAAAATCCACAAAAAAAAAAAACCAAAAAACACACAAAACCCCTCTTATTTGTATTTATGCTTTAGATTCATCATTTGGGAACCAAGCTTGGATCCATTTGCATGCTCATGTGTCACTGTGAACCTAAAACCTGTAAAAAGTTATGACTCAAACAAGTTCAGGTGGACTTGATCAGGGAATGCTGAAAAGGAATATGGTTTAATGTTGATTTTCATTGGAACAGCCTGTTCCAAACTTGAAAAAGTACTAGACAGTATTAGGCAGTATTTATGTTTGCAGTTAATGTCTGTTGAGCACAATCTTAGATCTAATACAGAGTGTTTATACTTCTTAGCTAAAAACTCCATATTCGATTTTAGAAACATAAATACAACATTCAGAGAGGATTCCATGAAAGTGATATTTTTTGAATTTTTTTTTTTTTTTTTTACAGTCTGTGCAAAGAATCAAAATAACACTAACTAGAACAAATTCTAACAACATTCATTGCTAGTGACAAATCAAGGAAATGAAACTTTTTCTTTACTAAGTGGCAAGGTTGAATATGAACCTCTAACATGCTATGGTGGTACTGTTCATCAATCATGCACACCTGAAGACAAAACAAAAAATCCCAATGAACAATTTTAAGTGAGAAGCTGAACCCTAGCCTTAGCAACAGAAAGAATGTGCTTTTTTTTTTTTCCATCCAAATTATTTAGACGCTGCAACCAGTCAATTTAAGTTTTAAAAACCAAACAGACTCTGAAAATGTGGGCGTTTGCCTTCTCCAACCCACTAATTAAAAGGCAGATTGATAAAAAAGGCTTGGAGACCTACTCCTGAAACCTCTACCTACTGATAATATGTGGCCTAAAATAGAAAATACTTGTTGTACCTCTGCCCTTGTTACCTAAACCACGGAACAGCTCCAGAATATAAAGTGATTAGAATTCAAGAAATAGACAATTTATCATCCCTGAAACAATCTCACATAAACAACACACAAAAACCTTATTTCTTCAGATGCAAAAATCTGACAACACGGTTTGGTACAAGTGTTATACAGAATAATTCAGGGGAGTATACTTCTGGAGTTACACATGTATACATAACATGTATATAGTGTATGTTCCACAATGGAAAAAGTAACCTAATGAATCTATGAATCTGCCCTAAAGGGCAGAAAAAGAAAAGAAAATTAAAATTGATCTCTAAAGATCAATAGTTTGTCCAGAATGTGAAGAAAGTGACTTAGGGGGAGGCGTACATAATTTTTAAGCTCAGTATGCCCTGGAACGTCTGTACACACACCCTAGTATTCATCTCCTACCAGGCCAAGAACACCCTGTTGTTGAGTCTCCCTGAAACCAACCCACTGCAGGCAAATGCAGTTATCAGATGAGCCTTTTGAGAGAAGAGTTCCACACTGGGCACCGAACAGAAGCTACTGCTAACAACCATACACAAAACCACACAATAACATACCCCTGTCAGAACAGAGAATAATATTTACTGCCATGACTACATCACTATGTACTACAAACTGAAGACACTTACGAAATATTTCCCAACAGAGCAAAACCATCACCTCAAAAGTAAGCTATACAGTCCCTACTTAGGAATTCTCTTCTGATCAGCTATCAAAAACACTTGACTTCTTTTTTCCACATCAAAGCTCTACCTGCATTTCCTACCACCACGTGCCAGTTTTGCAATCAGTAGGAAAAGACAAATTACAAGCTGTTTTGTTCGCTTGTTTGTTTGTTTGTTGTGGGTTTCTTGTTTTTAATTAATTCAACATACTACATGAATAAATTAGGGTTAGCTTAAGTGCACTTTATCATGAGAAATCAGAGAACGTAGACGTGAATTTGCAGAAATCATGAATGACACCAAACTACTGACAGATTTACAAGAGCAGTATCAGCAACAACTTGTATTACTTACTGGCATATAATAGATATTCATTCTAGGGGCTTCATTGGCAGTCATTAGCATTCCTAAAAAGAGATTTCCACAATAAAAAATATCAGTCACAAGAGGACAGCATTACTTTTAAATATACACGTACACACACACATATATATACCTGAAGTATTTAATTCACAAGAAGTGGATTTGTACACAAGACTAAGGAAGGAAAAGCCTAATAGCAGTGCAATTAATCAAGTGTAATTTCCTATATATTCATGCCCTTTGTCCTCTATCTTAGCTCAACATCACTAAGCAACACTAAGCTCTAACAACTGCAGACCACCAATTTTCTTAACAAATTGAAATAGTTCATCTCATGACACCGTCCCCAACAAATTCAGTTTGCCTTGCACTCTAAATCTACTTTGGGCAGAAACTAACACAAGCAAGGGGCTGGGTTTTGTTTTGCTTTGTCTTCAAACACATATTTATAGTCTAGTCATAAATCATAATAAGGTCTGCTGCTTTACTCATATTTCATCTTGGGAAATCAACAGGAGATTGTCAGCAGGAGAGACAGGATACTGTCACTTCAAATCAAAGTGGTATTAGTCTGGTGGGGAGAGCAAAATCTGAAATGTCAATGAATTTTCCTAAGGCATGCTGCAAATAAGGGTTGCAAACACTTTGTAAAAATATTAAAATCCACGAAAAATTTGCAACTGTCACAGGAATACAGATACATTAAAAATGAGAAATATCCCCAAGTTTGCTCTAGATAGGAATGCAGTAAGGACATTTGGTGTATACTTGTTGTTTATTTCAGTTTTGACTTTCCAACATAGCTGATCACTATGTAATACATGAAGACAGAGCATGAAGAACAAAAGAGCAATCGAGTTAGATAACACTGTGATCTTGAAGTAACACATGCTACTGAGACTTTGAATAAGTGGGGCAGTTACCACACACCCGGAGGGCAGAAATATAATTTACACCCAACTACAGGAACACAATTAACATGGGTGGAGTAATCCTTCCTACCTAATCCTTTTATTAAAAACACACAATGCAGCTGGACTCTTAATATCAGAAAAAAAGGGGGCTTGCTTTCCTGGCAGAGGGAGACATTTGTGAAAGCTCAGTCAGCAAACTGAGGCTTAACACCAAATCTGGAAAGAGTTGCAGGCAACTGAAGGAAAAAGCAAGATTCATGGTATATTTTTCACAGGTGATGTGCTCCCTTGGTATATCAGCCTGCTTGCTGCTACTACAGGAGGCAAAGCATTTCTCCACTGACTATGAATCACCAGAGATAAAACGACAGAAATTAATTCCGCAGGTGCTTCAAAGATGACAGTAAAGGGAAGAACTCCTCTTTGAGAGTCTTCCACTAATAATTAAAGGCGGGAAACTGTCTTCAGAAGAGTACAAGGGTGTGTACTAAGGGGGAAATACAGAAATAAAATTAAAAAAAAAAAAAAGGAACAACTCCATGAAAGATGTCTATGTGCACTTTCATCATTTCAGCTTGTTAGTTCTAACCAATTTTTATAAGAAGGACCACACCCAATCGAGCTACACAGCAGTCTGCTTTGATCACTTCAAAAGGGAAGTAAAAGAGAACTCTTCTTTCACAGGAGTAGTTTTTTAAGACCGTCCTTAGAAAGGACACTGACTGTCCTTAGTGATCAATTATATGGTATCACTGATTTAAAGGAATGAAAATGTGAATATGAAGCAGTAATAAATGGGAGAAGCAGTTTTAGAAAAAGTTCCTACAGTTTCTGCTTGTGAAAAAAAATTTGGAATGATTGAAATTGTTGCTACCTTCCACAGTCTAAAACACAGCTTGAATACTGCCAGTAGTACAATAAAATTACAAATAGAAAAAGGTAGAAGTAAACCTCTAGAAATACTAGGCATCAATTTTCTCAAAAGAAAAGCCTTCTAGAAGTAGATTCAATGATTTCTCCTTCATGACATTTCTGATACTGTTCTCTTCCAGTTTGAAACAAAACCTGTGAGTTTCTCATGAGAGAAATTCTGAGTTTTGGCCCATGTCAGTGAGATAAAATAAGGAAAAAGTGTTTTGTTTCACATGACAGCAAACAGTAAAGCTTTTTTAAGTGAATGAGAGAAGATAAGAGTTAAAGTATGGATTTTCTCAGCAGTCACTTCAAGTTAAGTCCAAGAGCACAGGCCGGGCAAAGGTCTTGGGATTTCCTGTACCATGCCAGCTCCTGAATGTCCAGGTGTGCCCTGGGAGTGCTGGGACCCAATGACATCACCAAGCTATAGCCATACTGGCATTTACATGTCACTGCCTCTCCTGGCTTTCCACAACTGCAGCACTAATATGACTGGAAGTACTTCCTTCAAATGTTCATACTTTAAACTCTAAATATCGGTGAACTAGCGTCAGGCATCCTAAATTTTGCTATCCTCTTTAGCACTCGGAGTCCAATTGCTAGCACTGGAAGACCACTCTGTTTCAGAGAGGCAGAATCCTAAGCATTAAAACAGTGAGCTAATACTTGCATTAGCAGGATCCTGCAGATCTTATAGTGTTTTACTACATAAAGTCAAAAATGCCTGCTGTCTCAGCAAAGCTCAATATGCAAGTGTTCATCTTAAAAAAAAAAAAAAAAAAAATTCTTAACTGAAGTTGGCAGAAAAGACAAGATAAGTTTTAACTCGTTAGAAATCTCAAACTCACTTATCTACAATCTTGAATCGAGCAGTTAGTATGATTCAAAATCCAAGTTGCTCTGTGTTCACTGCTACCTCTCTAAAATTAAGATAATAGCAGAGTTTGCAACACAGGCATTCTCCAATCAAGAACTTTGTCCTCTGCCATCCTACAGACCATGATGTTTCTTTCATCTTTTCCAGTGCTGCTTTCTAAACAGAAAGAGTATATCATGCACTAGTTAAGAACTAAGCAACTATGGGAAAAACTAAGGTCAGTTGCAATCTATCTAAAGCACATGTGCACATATAACCACCATTCTGTAAAATATTTTTTTCTCCCATGAATTGGAATCTGGAAACAGGTTAAATGTGGCCGTTTTTCTGACCTTGAAACACAATGTTATAAGACGCACCAAATCTGAGAAGTCACAAAAAGCATGCAAACCTGTAGACTCTGCTGTGCTTAAAAACAAAAATATTCTTTCTTAAGAAGGACCCAGTGAGTACCATACTTAAAAACAGGAAAGATTAAATAGCGGTAAACATTTGTAAAAATTTGTAAACTTGTTGAAAAGTTTTTTTCCCAGCTCTAGAAAGTACACTCTGAATTATCTGGAGCTTAGCTTAGACAAAAGGACAAAGTTCTTTCTCTTATGAGATATTTAAGATACTTGAAAAGGCAAAAGAAGTCAGTCACTCAGTTGAAAGCAGAGCAGATTCTAACTGCTGAGAGCCTTTGATTTAATGCAGATGCAGAGCAAACAATGACATTAACTAGCAAGTAACCATTTTTCCTAGCTGCGTAATAAGGAGGAAAGTAGACCTAATTTGCATCACTTAAATGAAAAAAAAGCAACATTATGGACTAACACACACTTTCCTTTTTGAATAAAATAAATCATAAATACAGCTAACATACCAGAATTTGGATAAAGACAGACATCATTGATATCATATTCTGGCTCCATTGAAGTAAATATCTTCCCCTGTAATTGAAGGAAGATAACATATTACAAAGAATTCCAAACAGTACAGTTAAACATAGTAAATCTAAAGATCATTACTAGCCATTATAGAAGCTAATGATGATGGAGTAAAAATAGCACAGAGTTTGCAGAACAATAAAATGTTACAAAAGTATCTGAACATAACATAAAAACTCAGTATTGTATTCTGTCTCTGATCAGGTCTACAGTAGCCTACAGGTTACTGAGGACACCGCAATGTACAGTGGCACTCCTGATTTCTTGGTTCACAGTTCTGTGCTGAAAAGATACATCAGTTTCACTTCATTTTACTTTATGCAAAAAGAGGATGAGGGCCACAAGTTCCTGGCACATTGCCACACTTTGTTCAAGTCTGAATGTGGTAATCTTAAACCTTCTCATTTTGCTAAGTGTATTATCTGAAATGATGGATTGGGAGTGGAATTTGATTGTGCAGTTTGGTACCTCCAGCCTGCCCACGTCAACTTAGAATGAAATATGGCTTGGCACTTTGTTTGTAAGTTACAAACTCAGTATTAAAGAGGTCTAAGCACAAAATAAAAATAATAAAAGCATCCACTGGTATGTAGTTCAGCACAGTAATGAAGTTATTTAAGAAAAAGGTAAAAGCAGGAAACAAGATTTTCAAAAACTAAGAACTGGAACAGAGTCTGAAAAATCCAGACAAAATACAGGTGCTCTTGTAAGCCAAGACACAAGACAGCCAGTTGAAGAAGTGTGTCTACGAACTGGGCCACAGAATACAAAGCATGAGAGTACATGCCTACATGGTTCTAAATGAGCGACAGGAACAGAGCAAATTTTCATCCTATTCCTCTTTTCTCTTTCCCTGCAGCAATCCCACCTACCTTTCCGGGCCCTTCCTTTCCCACCCAGTTATATGCTGGTACCCCACCCATCCCTGGTCTCTCCCCGATGATTAATAAGAGTCCTCCCCCACCCCAATCTTAGCAGACAAAAGCCTCACGCTCCCCACCCCAAGGCACGTCTCAGCATGGGGCTATTCTGGTATCAAAGCCATATGCTCTCCACCCCACAGTCTGCCTCTGCAGTTGGTTCCCAGCCAGAGATAGTCAGGAACCAACATCTGGGAGAGGTGGAGCCAGCTGGAACACACTCTAGGAAAGCATCCAAAGCTATCTTTGCCTTCCAGCGCTAAGAAACCCTCCCTTTTCCCACTGCAGAGCCCACCTGACAAACCTTGCACTGTTAAATTCTCAGTGAGGAAAATCTCTATACCTAGGAAAAATGGAGAGGGGCCATTGCAGATGTTTTAAATAATAGCAGTAAATTATTTGCCTTTTTAAACAATAAAAAGTAACTGAAGAGCTTAAAAAAACTGCTTGCAATAATAGAAAAAAAAAAAAAAGGGCTGTTGAAAGTTCATGAAGAAATACAACAATAGAAAAATGGCTGCCTGAAATAGTTAGAAAAATAAGTGCCTCTAAACTACTGTAACTGTTCTTGATATGTTTCATTATGAAGCCAAAAAAATCACAGATACAGCATGGAGCAAGTTTTTTAGAAGGAATACAATGACTAAAGATAGCCTCTTTGACCAAACCAAGTTACAGTAGAATTAGAGTGAATCTGGAGGATAATGTATTTTGTACAAGTTGCGTCGATGGAAAGACAAGAAAAAAAATTGCATAATGTAACAAAAGAAAGTCTTACAGTAATTAGATTGCAACTTTGCCTACAGGTGCAAAAGACAGGGATAAAGATGTTGTCTCTTACGACATAATCCATTAATACAGCATAATGCACACTGTTACTTGGATCTTGGCATAGTATCTGCCTCAAAATCCCTGTAAGTTCCTGTAAAAGTAAGAAGCACTTGATTTTAATACTTCATAAACTGATGTACATTTGAAGCTAGCAGTCCTTCAAGCAGAGAAATGGAATGACTAATTTTTCTCCGTACTGGATGTTCATAGTCCACTTAGAGAAATACACACACCAAGGCAATGGCTAAGATACCACTTTTTGTGTTCAAATCCTTCTACTGAAAAAAGCATCATCAGCAGACATACACAAACAGACTAAAAAAAAAAAAACAAAAAAAAACACCAAGACTGTACTTTTATACCTGACAGGCTATTGAATACCTTCCCAGATGCAGGGCTGCTTAGCCAGACAAGGAAAAATGCTATGTAAATTAAAATACATTAAAAACCCAACTTCCTACTTTGAATTTCAACTTTATTACTCAAATTGCACATTAGATTAAAAAAAAAACAAACAGGAAATGATACAAATGCAGCAACAGAAAAGCACTTACTGTATCTTTGTTCCACATCTTTATGATTCTAGAATCTGCAGAAATTATTAAATCCAACTGATGCTGAAACTGAATTGACTTAATAGGCAGGCCATACTGGTGATCTTTGACTATCAGTGGGTTAGCAGACCGAAGGTCATACAATAAAACCTTGAGGAATAAAAGACAGATCAATTGTTCAATATTTTAAGGTTAAGAGGTAGTCAAACTAGGTCTTCATTAAAGATTTAAATCAACTTGACATTTTTTTTCTGTTTGTTTTCCATAAAGAAATCCTCTCAAGTTCTGAAAATAATTAAGTAAGCCCATTTTATTCTGACAACATATTTTAACCACAAAATGTTTTAGTTTAATTGGAAAATTTAAATTTGCATTCAAGAGTCTACTATCCTTCTAAAGTGTTTTTCATTTCTATTGAAATTAAAATTGAAAAAATGAAACATTTTCAAAGCACTCTCAGCAGTTTTAAATCACTAATATTGCACTTTCACATTCTTGTACTATTCACAGAATCATAGAATTACCAAGGTTGGAAAAGACCCACAGGATCACCCAGTCCAACCATCCACCAATCACCAGTAGTTCTCAATTCTTATTTAGAAGGTTTATATCTTCAGATTCCTTCCCAGAAACCTTCAGATTCAGTGAGTATCCCTTTCACTCAGAAAAACAACAGGGAGCACAATTATTTTTTAGAGAAATGCTGAGTACAGGCTGTCTTCCAGAAATATGCATTTTTTAATCTAAAAAAATTCCAATGGAATCTCTGAAAAACTTTACATTTCTCATATGTATGAATACTAATAATTTGAGGGAAAAATAGTTTAGCTCAGATTATAAATATATCTCCAGTAAAGCTTGCATGACAAATATAACAGCATCATTACAAGCACAATTCTTGTATGTATAAGTGTCTCCAAAAAGTAGATTTCTTAACCCATTAAAGGATCACTAAAGGCAGACCAAAATTTCTTCACACTCTACTTGACAACTAGCATGGAAACAACGAATAAATGAATCAAAATGACGCTTCATAGGATAGGACAAAAAAATCCCAACACATTAGTTGAAAGGCAATCACTTCTGCTTGTTTAGCTGCAATTAAAATAAGGTAGAGCGTATGTATTGCACCGACACAGTACTGACAGTCTCAAAAAGAAGCAACTTCCTCACATAACTGATTCTTAAGTCTTAAGAAAACCAGAAGGATTGAACTTTTATAGTATGCAGATTGGAGGTTGTGATGATATTAATAAACTCCTCAGTATTCTGAAGAACAGGATCATTTTACAAATCAATTTGCAGCTTAAGAGTGACTGTTACTGCTCCATACATGTCAGTCTTAGAAATACTTATATTATTGTGTATTACATTAAGTGCACTCAGTATACTATAGACCTGGACTGACAACTGCCAAGAGGATCTTCTAAGAAGTGTTGTAGAAGAAGTTAAGACTACCTGCCCAGTAGATGTTCCAACAGCCATATTCAAAGCTCCATCAAATTTCAGCGCTGAAATAGATGGCAAACAATCCACCCTGCAAAGCACAATTCTTAATGTTAGATGTTCTCTCTCTAAATGATGCAAAAAATGTTAAAAATAGCTAAAATAACAGCATAAATTATTCAGGCATAGCACACATAAAGAGTTACTTTATAACTAAGAAAACCTTCTTACACTAGCAATGAGATGGCAGTGGGCACTGTAATGCCAAGTGGGAACTGTTTTTAGAAGCAGAACTTTTCAAAACAAAGAAAAACCACCAGAAAAATGGCCTTAGATAGCCTTTACTCACTCTGTGTCTGCTGTCACACTGCTTAAAGCACAATCCAGCAGCCCAACTCGATTTCTTGTTCTAGGATCCCAGCATTCCACTTTACCCTAAAGAGTTTAGAAAATATATTTTAAGCTTATGCAACAAATATCAGATACAGTGAAAGTCTTTAAATAAAATTATGAATTCTTTTATCTACGAGTTATAAATCTAATTTCCTACCACAAGAGTTGTACTAATAAAGGCATACAAGCTCCACACATTTCATGTGTATTTAAAACAAACGTGCTCTGAATCAAAATGGTTAACACTAGATTTCTCAAGATTAAGTGGGCACACAGGCCTGCTAATTTCAACTGATAGTTACATTCTCAGGCAAGATAACACTATTTTCTCTCATTTGCAAAATCTCATGTATCTCAGCAAGCAAGATATTTCAGAAATTGTACCTGCACTCCACTCTAAGTCTTCCTGTTTAACAAATCTATACTTAATACAGCAAACAAGATCAAATTAATTACTTAAGTTCCTGTCATGATTCCTTCTTATCCTCATGCAAACTAATACAAAAGAGATACAAACACTGCTGCCCTTTTCATAGAAGGAATGCAAACATTTACCTCAGCTGTCCCTGTAGCAAATAAGTAGTGTACAGGATTGATGTCACAAACATTATTCTCTCTAAAACAGAAAAAAGAACAAGTTTAATGACTCCAGAATAATGTAACTAAAAAGATTTCTGTAATCACATACACTGTTGTTTAGCCTGGAAAAGCAGAAGTGGTGAGTGGGGGGAGGGTGTGTAAGTGGATGGCAACTAATAGCAGCTTCCCATACTTAAGAGGAGCTTACCAAGAATTTGGAGCTATCAGAGAAAATCAGAGACAGTGCTGATATCTTGAGATGGGTGAGGTTCCAACTGGATGTAAGGATAATATTTTTATGCCTTAAGGGTACCTCATCATTGGAACCGGCTGCCAAAAGAAGCTTTGGAATTTCTATCCTCAGAGTTTACAAAACCCCCTGGGAAAACTCATCTGAATTCAGCACTGGCCAAGCTTTGAGCATGAGACAGGGTTCAGGGTCTCTCCAACCTCAGTGATTCTACAATCTTCTGCCCAAGCCCACCACCTACCACCCAGCCTTGCCATATTGCTCTGCTCCTCTGTATTCTTAACTCAATTACATCAGAAGGTCTTCCTGATTACACGTTTGGAAGCTTACATCTCCAACATATTCTGACGAACAGCCTGTCTACTCTTTCCTCTTCCAAGTACCCCATTTCTTAACTGCTCAACCAGAGCGCTGCACTTCTCCAGCAATTCTTCCAAAAGAGAAATATGTCTCCTTAGACCTCTTATCTCAACCTCTTCTATTCTAAGAATGCCACCTATAATTCTATAATTCACCCAATTTTCCTGCCTTACAGGCTTTCAAATTTTCAATTCTCATTTCCCTGATTCAGATTTCACTCATGACTCAGCTCTGCTGCTCCAAGATTTTCCTTCCCTCCTCCTCTCCACTGCTACTGGGTGTCTATGGTTGTGTCCACCCAAATACTGCTATGCTCCTTAAGCTATCCAACCCACTGTGGCTCACCAATCAGTGACTTTGATGAGAAGAAGCCTGTTCTTCTCATCTGCCTCTCCCCACACAAAAGAAGCCCAGCTCCTGCTATTGCTATGGTTTTCAAAAGAATCAAACACATGCTGGTGATATTAAAAAAAAAAAATAAAAAAATCAGTCAAACAAACAAACAAAAAAAACCCCAACACTCTTTGGGCTACTCCAAGAGTAGAAGGACAAAGACATGTCTGGGAAAGTACATACCCTGTGGGCAGGTCTCTATGTGATGGCTAAATTGAGTTGCAATGGCAAAGTTATATATTTATTATATATATATAATAAGTCTATATTAAGCAATTTTAATTGAGTTTGCTTTGTGGATGTTTTAAAGTATAAAAACTGTTACAAAGAATGACAGGATGTAAAATTAAATAAAATGAGGTTCAAGCTAGGTATATGTTGCTTTTCAATTCTACTTTACTGTGTATTTGGGCAGTATTCAGATACGGTACTGATGGTGAGCACAACAGTAGTTTGGTTCCACCTGGTGGATGGAAGACAGACATCATGTATTACAGTTACTTACGAAGCATCAGTTTGCAGGGAGTTCAGAAACCTTCCTTGTTCCAGATTTAGCCTGTATACTTCAGAACTACAAAGAAAAAAACACAATTACTTCTTTCCTGTACACTGGAGAAAGGATAACTCTTTGAAAGGGTAGATAACTGCAGGACAAGGGGAAATGGTTTTAAGTTGAGAGAGGGAAGATTTAGGTTGGACGTCAGGGGGAAGTTCTTTACTATGAGAGTGGTGAGGTGCTGGAACAGCTGCACAGAGAGGTTGTGGATGCCCTGTCCTTGGAGGTGTTCAAGGCCAGGTTGGATGGGGCTCTGGGCAGCCTGGTCTAGCATTAAATGGGGAAGTTGGTGGCCCTGAATGTGGCAGGGGGGTTGGGGATTCATGATCCTTGAGGTCCCTTCCAACCCTGGCCATTCTGTGATAATATGTATGTTCATCAAACATCATAGAATAGCTTCACAGAATCTGCAGTGTTGGTAGGGACCACCCAAGGCCATCTAGTCTAACTGCAATGAAGATGGACAACCACAGCTAGCTCAGGTTGTCGAGGAACTTCTCCAGGTTCACCCTGAAAGTCTCCACAAAAAGCTACTTCATTTTCCTTACTAAGATGTTCATCACTTTTAAAACAGAGTACACTGAATTGCACTGCTGACCACAAATTTGCAAGTGCCTCAATCAAAGAATAAAAGTCTTAATGCAGGAAACTGAATTAATTTTGGACTTTCACATTTTTCACTCTTCATATGCAGTCTCCACTTGGAAAGAATTCCTGCCTTTTCCAATACAGTAGCATTATTAAATTTTCCGTTAACATTCATTTAGTTCTTTGAAAAAATTCCTGACAGAAGTAAAACAAAATAATCCATTCAAACACTACCTTGCTCCTACAAAGTACAGGTCACATGATGGATAGTGATAAGAGAAGTCTCTACCAAATTTTGGTATTCTTGTCCTGTAGTAATGTCCATGCTGTGAATGAAACTCCACATATCTGTCACACTGCAAGAAGACAATCTGAAAATAAAATGGAAAGAACTGAAATATAGAAGAGATAACTTGCCTCAGAAAACAATCAGTGATTTTTCCATGCTGGTCTATCACAATCCACTTAAATAATTTCTACTAAAATGACAGAATTCATTCTTTATTCTCATATGCCACAGCAATCTCTTTATTAAAGATAAAATGAATATAAGGCATCACTAGAAAGCTAGATCTATAGTAGTAAATAATATAGCAAAACTCATATACATATAAATGAATTCTTCCCACTCCCATCACATTCATGCAGTATCTTAAACCTTGCCCAGATACTATGGGATGCATTAAGCATCACTCTGGCCCAAAATCACTCTATGATGAAGGTAAACAATTAAGTGACATGGACAATTACAGGTCAACAACTCACTCTAATGCTCAATTCTCTTTAGATTAGACTAGAAAGGTGCTAGTTTAGAATGTATGTAGTCTGTATATCTTCACACAATAGTAAATCACTAAGATCTTAAATTTCCCCCTGTTGTACTGTGTTGCTATCCACTCTAATAGTGAGCAGCTCAGGAAAGACAAAGTACAGTGGCTGTTTTGAATGTCATGTTTATTTACATATTTTCCCTTTACATGAGGTATGTACAAAGTACTGACCTGGGTGACTACTTTATGCCTATTTAAGTCCTCTCTGTACTTTCCATTTTTCTAGTATTAGAAACTCTAGTGTTTCAACTTTTATTCAAGGGCTCACTCTTTTGAGATCCAAGATGAAAGTCAAGTATCACTTTTCATAAATATAATTACTATTTCATACAAGATTACAGATGCAGCTGCACAGCTGATATTATACAATGATGTTTTTCATACACAGCCCAATCAACCCTTTGTATGCTTAACTTCTTTATGTTCTTAATTGGAGGCTTACACTAAGGAAAGCTCTTTACTTCATTGTTTCAAACAAGATCAAGAATTTTCTGATTTTGCAGTGACGATACTGAAGTCTCTATGTCTTCGTGTGGTTTAGAAGTTAAAGAAATCACGAGAACACAAAATAAAACCACATTAAACTGAAATTATCAATATCACCTTGTTAGTTCGCTGTCAGTAAGCTATCAAGAAACTTTCTATCAGGAATAAGGAAGATATAGTTTGCTGACTTCTCTTTTACTACCTCCAAAAAGACTTTATTTTCTAGTAGTTGACAAAAACAAGCAGATATTCTGCTAATAACTATGTTACCTCTAGTAATTTTATGTCTTAAGCTGAAGTATCTACAACGTGGGACTTGAAGACAATTATGTCCTCTTTTATTAGAAAAGGATACAACTCAACTGGAAATCATGCTTGTTTTTCCTTCGTAATAATTAATTCTGAAAACTACAAGCTTGGGTTAGCAAAAGCATAGCCACTGGTGTGTGGCAAAAAAGACAACAGAGGAAACACCTGCCAATTTGGAAAAGACTACAGTAGAAGAGATACCACTCTTCCTAAGTCTAAAACTTAATCCAAGTCTAAACCTTGAGAGAGCACAGAAACATAACTGACTTTACAGATACAAACATGAGCAAAAGTGAACAGCATGCTCTGTGAAAACACAAATGAGCCTCAAAATGATACCTTACAAGGTTAGTGGGAACAGACTGGAGAGGACACATTTTCATTTTTTTGCACAGTGCCCATGAGGCACTGTATCTAGTGCAGGGGCTCTCAATTCAAGAGAAATGTTGAGAACATCAACAAAGCCAAACCAGATAAGGGATACAATACAAGCCCTAGATGAAAAGTCTGGATGAATCTCAGTTTGTTAGTTAGGCAAAGAGGACACTATGAAACAATCTAGTAGCAGTCTACAACTGAAATGCAGTTACAAAAATGACAGTCAAACTCACTGCAAAAATTTCAGGTTTGGGCAGGCTGGACAAGAAGGAAGAATTGTTTAGGAGGTGATAACAGAGCATTAGTCTTATTTCGTGCAGGAAATGAACCCTTGATAGGAATATTACATAAACTCCTTGTAAGGAATATTTTTATGATTCTAACCATTTCAAGTGCAATTTCTCAAATACTGTTCCCTCTTTGTCACATTTAAAATATTATAACTTTCTGAAATCAGTTTTCTTTCTAATAATTTAGGATGTTTTTGGAAAATACAATTGAAGATAAGGTTGTCAATACAGTACCAATTTCAGTTCAAAACACACATAAGCCTTATTGTTTGCTTGACCAGTCAGAGATGGGCGAACAATGAGAATACATTCCTCAGCCCTGCAAATAATTGCTTGGTCTTTACAACCAGAAGCAGGAGTCTAGCCTATTATATCAGTCACTCACTTCTTCCATTGAGTCCACACATTATTGGAAAACATAAAAGGGAAAACTTTGAAAAACCTAGAGCTAGAAGGCTAGAAAATGTGTCTGAAAGCATAAGACAAACCTGTATCAGTAATGCTGAAGTCTCTGAGGAAAAATTCCTCAATAAAAATCCCACTATTAATATGCTGTGTTCCAATGAAATCAGCAAAACTAAGTGCTTAAATTTCCATATTTCATTTTAGACTGAATACTCTGATGAATCAGAAAAGTTTATAGGAACAGGTAACATCTTTTATCACACCAAGTGCTGCAGCTGGAAAAAATGCAGAAGATTTTGCATGTTTCTGAGGGCCCTCAACAGAATTAGGAGTAATAATTGTATTGAGCCTGAAAAAGGCACACAGTTGTAACAACTCAACTGTTTCCTCCAGATACAGCAGTTATAAACAAAACATGTTACTTATCTCCACAATTTTTGCTTCATTTATATACTTGGTTATCACTGCTATAGCAAATCAGCCTAATTCAGCTATAGCTACCCCATTTCTCATAAAAGGTGCATGTTGGCTACTGTCACAGCTATTATAACCAAATCTTACACTAGCAAGAACAACTAATTATGTTTTATCACATATGATCACAGGATAGCTGACTATTTGGAGCATTTCTCTACTGCAGACAAAAGACTTTACAAGTGGTAAGGCAAATTACAGTACAAAGAGGCAAAGAAAACAATGTTTTAAAGGTACAAAAAATGTTTATCCTGTTTGTTTTTTAAATAAAAAACAATCTGTTCCAAAAGTTGTTGATTGACTGCCTTTACTATATATGAAAATGTATTTTAATATACATATTACACAATTTTCTCATTTATACATTGAAAACATGAAACATACCTTTGAGTAATCATCTGATAAAATCTCAAATGTAACCACTAAAGGAGAGAACAAGAGAATTTTAAGTTAACTAAGTAAGCAAATTTATTTGCAAACACTGGCACAAATCCTGAAAATAATATTTACTCTTATGCTAACCTTTAGCCATCTAAGTATTCCCCACAGGTGTCAATGTGTAATGCAGACATCATGATAAAATCTTTAATTAGACGACATTATTTGCAAAATAATAAGTTACTTAAGAAAACCTTAGAAACTTATGAAGCATCTTATAATCTTTTTATCATTCCTGTATACTTGATACGCTCCTCAATGCGGTGCTCAAACGTGTATTTAGGAAGGTCTGATCAAATGCTTTTCCAGTGAGTGGGTGGTCCACGGAGCTTTGGTGAACCATCAAAGATAAGAATAACAGGGGATCAAATGTACTACACACACATCTTCAGACACAGCCCTCCTAAGGCATCAGCTTCCAGAGATTGAGCTTTGAGGGGCCAATAATCACAAACACAAAGGCTACTGTTCAATACGTTGAGGTGTTCAGCAGAGACTCCAATTAGCTTTAAATAAGGTGAGTTCGGAACATCAGGGAGAAGCTGCTTCGCCTAAACTGTTTCCAATTAAATAAGGCAGGTTATTTAAGGTGACTCTATGATACAATGCAAGTTAAACACATTTTTAAAACCTTGCAAGAAGCCAGTTCAAAAAAATTAACTCTGAGCTCTAATTAACTGCAAGCATTTACTATTACAATGACTCATGCTCTTTCAAAGTGGGTCTCTCTCATGCCACGCCTTTCTTTCTCCAGCCTTCCTGATCCTCCCTCCTTATACTACTTTGTAGCACTGTCTAACCATACAAGATTCCTTGCAATAATAAGGAATCAAATAATAAAACACTACTATGCTCTATTTCCCTTTTCCTGATTTAATTCAGTAGCTGTCATTCTTTTTTTTTTTTTTTTTACATAGCATATCAAAAATAGACCAGTTCCATTTCTCACTAATGATTCAATATTGCACTGTTCTGTGCTTTCTGTGCTCAACCCCTCAGTTTCATTCACCTCTCTGCCTTCTGCCATTAGTCTCCTAAGAACAAAACCAAAATAAACCCCCAACTCTATAGATCCTAAAACCTCCACCCTCAGTCTAATTTCCAGCACATTCTCTCTTTCTCAGAGCCTAGATGGCTTCTTGCTCTCATCTCCCTCCAAAATACTAGCAAACAATGTGAAATTGGGGCTTTTCCTTTGCTACCACCTATGTCCAAAAATAATAATAATAATAATAAAGAAATATACAAAACAAATCAAGGAGTTCTCTTTAACTGACTTGGGCTGCAGTGAGAAAACAAAAGAATTCATTTCAGTAGCAATGGAGCAACCACAGAGCACTCTCCTACATTACTGCTTCAGAGTGGGAAGAGATCAGAAGGAAGAACTGCCTGCTCTCTCTTTCTCTCTCTCTCTCTCTCTCTCCCCCCCCCTCTTCCTCTCACACACACACACCACTCCCCAAAAAGAGCAGCAGCCTTCAGCCAAGTCTCTCTCTGAGTCCCACACTTACTGGCTCAGAGCAGATCTTACTGTCTTCGTACAGCTCCAAGAGAGGTAAGAACTTTACAGAAAAAAGAAGGAAAAATACAGAGACTGGTGAGATTTTATTCTAGATTCTTCTGTTCCCCCAACATATAATCTGTCCCCTTAGAACAGGGAGACAAATTTCTATTTGAGTCCAACCTGAACTGTAGACAAAAGATTTCTCCTACTAACAGCCACAGCTTATACTAACCTTCAGAATCTAAGCACCTTTCAAACTTTTGGGATAACTGGTAAGTATCGTAACAGCGGATCCTCGGTTTGTAAGTTCCTGAAAGAAGAATTTGATTTTTAATACTGAACAAAAAGATAACACTAACACATTTTTTAAAAATACGATGTTTTATGTATACATTCCCTACTACAACTATGTTTCTGTGAATGGATAAAGAGGCCTCTTAGTAACAGAACTTAACAATACCTTCCAGTGAGTCTGAAAAACCAAGCCTCCTTGTGCCATTAAGGCTAACTGAAGTATTCATGTTAGGATTTGACAGAAAATGCAGCATTATCCTCCATCCTTTGAAAAAACACTCGGTGATGCTCAGAAGTTATTTAAAGCAAGTTTATGAACACGCTATAAAAACAAATAAGTTGTTGTTTTGATAACACAGGTATTCTTCTAATACAGTTGAAAATTAAATTTTTCTCAACTTAAGTTCCAAGACATTCATTGCATCACATCTTAAGATTAGGCTTCCACGATTATGTTCAAATGCTGCATTAAAGAAATAAAACAAAAAAACCCTCTATTTTCTACCTGTCATAATTCTGTGATAAACCATTATTAGTACTTTTGGCCTCTGCTACCGAGGGATCCTTAGTTAACTCACCAACTGCCATAATATATTGTCCATCTCTTGATACCTTAATCTTGGTGCTAACTGTGGGCATTTCAAAGTCTTGAATAAGTTCAATTCTTCTACGGATATCTACAAAGAAAAAAGAAATACACATAAAGAGAAATTATTTGTAAAGCTAGTACTATTATTATCAGTCCAATACTGTAATGATTTCTTATGAAAGTATGTTGAGTTCACTGAATAAAACTGAATATATTTAAGGTATATCTTTGTCTTTAACACAGGCCAGGAGAACAATGCAGTACACTAACACTGAGAAGCCAGCTATCTCCACACCAGACAGATGCCTGTCTCGAGGTGCTAACCATGTGACAAATTATAACAGGCATTCACAAAAAGGTTATATATTCTACACAACAAAGATGCATAATATATTCCATCACTGTTACTTCCATGCATATTTTTTAGTTGGCTGCTTTACACAGTGCTCATGATGGTACGTAAATATTTCCGTTGATATTACAAATTTAGAGTAGAATTGAAAGGTTGAGGGAACTGGGCTTGTTTAGCTTGGACAAGAGAAGGCTCCAGGGAGACCTCATTGTGGCCTTCCAATACTTGAAGGAGACATATAAACAGGAGGGAGAACAACTGTTTACATGGGTTGACACTGATAGGACAAGGGGGAATGGTTTTAAACTGAAACAGGGGAGGTTTAGGTTAGATATTAGGAGGAATTTTTTACTCAGAGGATGGTGACACATAGAACAGGTTGCCCAAGGAGGCTGTGGATGCCCCATCCCTGGAGGCATTCAAGGCCAAGCTGGATGTGGCTCTGGGCAGCCTGGTCTGGTGGTTGACAACCCTGCACATAACAGGGGGGTTGAAACTCGATGATCTTTGAGGTCCTTTTCAACCCAGGCCATTCTATGATGATGATATGATAAAATCACAACACTGCCCTCTAAGCTGAGCTTAATAAATATACAGGGGTCTATAGCTAGATTTGATCATAAAATATATGTTGGATGCATCCACCACACTTGCGTACAATCTACCATCTCCCAGTATTTAACGCCTGAAAACGATGCTGGCAATGTTCTATCCATGCAGCACTACATAGGAAACTAAAGTATGGCCTTCTAGCATTACCTACAGCTTTAAATTTGTATTTATGAAAATAAGGTGTGCACAATTTCCTTGTGCCAGCAAACTGACCACTTCTGGATTAGCAGATCAGATGTGTACAGCCTCATTCTGCTGAGGGCTGCGATGGGAAAACTCACCCACATCTTTCTTCTGTAATGCTCTTTTCTTCCTGTCTGAGAGCCACTGTAAGGAAACACATCAGTATTCACGTTACAGCACACGAGCAGAATCAGAGAACTGTTACAGTCTAACAAATCTGAAAAGAGTTTTTTCTGCCTGAAACATCACTTCTTCCTTCTTAATTACATTAAAAATTCCAGTAGTAAGCTCTGAGGTCCCTTCCATCCCAACCACCCCGTGATCCCACGAAGCAGAGCAGCTCTTCTCGGACGCTCGCCAGCTGCGGAGGCGCCCACGCGTCCCGCCCGCCCCCTCAGTCTCCCTCCCGCCCGGGCTGCCCCTCACCTCCGGGAGGCTCCTGCCGGCGCTCAGGCTGTAGATCTTCACCTCGTTGAGGCTGGAGACCTGCATGGCGAGCCCACACGCCTCTTCCGGGCCGCAGGGGAAGCGGAAGGCGGGCTGGGCTCCGACCCGGCAGCAGTGCGGTGCGCGGGCGGGGCTGCGGGTGCGGCTCCGTCAGCTTCCCGTTGCCGGCCGGCGCCGAGTGTCGGCGGGCGCCGGGAGAGAGCTGTTAGATAAATCGCGTTCTGCAACGTTAGCGCCTAAAGGCGGCTGTATGATGCTATTTCAGGCGGTGCTCGGGTTGAAATCACAGAGTAGGAAGGAGCTGCTTGGGCAGACGTGGCTCGTTTTCTTGCCCCACACAAATCCTGGAAATCACTGCAGAATCGGGTTGGGCAGCATCCTTCCAGCAAGCGTAAAAAGTAGGACGGCGTTTAAATTCTATGTAGCATCGCTTTAAACACAGAACACAGAATTAGAGGGTTGGAGGGGACCTCTGGCGATCACGCAGCCCGGGCCCTGCTGAAGCAGGTTCCCCACAACAGGCTGTGACAGGGACACAGAGTTGCCGGGGTTGGGCCATGCCTATTCTGACTTAGAAGTGCAGCAACAAATAAAATATGATGTTTTTCCACACTATGAATGTTTTTGCGTACCGCTAAATGTCACAGCTTTTCCCCCGTGACAGTACACAGCTGGTGTAAGAGCTAAGCGAAACCAGATCAAGTCTTACATGCAGAATTCCTTGCATAGAATCATATTAAGGTTGGAAAAGATCATCTAGTGCAATCGTCAGCCCAGCCCCACCATGCCCACTGACCACATCCCTCAGTGCCACATCTACCATTCTGAGCACCTCCAGGGTTGGTGACTCCACCACCTCCCTGGGCAGCCCGTGCCAGTGCCTCACCACTCTTTCTGAAGAAGAGATGTTTCCCAATATCCAACCTGAACCTCCCCTGGTACAACTTGAGCCCATTACTTCTCATCCTATTTCTGTTACTTGACAGAAGAGGCCAACCCCACCTCACAGCAACCTCCTTTCAGTTGACTGTAGAGAGCAATAACATTCCCCCTGAGCCTCCTCTTCTGCAGACTGAACAATCCCAATTCCCTCTGCTGCTCCCCATAGGACTTGTGCTCCAGCTCTTCACAGCTTTGCTGCCCTTCTCTGAACACACTCCAAGGCCTTCATATCTTTCTTGATGTTTTTCATTATGCATTTCAGCAATGATAGTACCAATATCACCACTTTCTGCTTTGCATTAAAGGGTGCCATAGCTGAGACCCAGACACCTAATGTAGGTGTCTATGTGGGTACTAGATATCAAAGCTCCCATTTCAGGGAGCTAAGGCTTCGCTCACCTAAATGTAGATTGTCTGGTGGCATTTGAGCTGCCATGGTATCCAGGACACCTAGATGGGGTGACACAAGACCTGTGGAAAACCCATGTGCTATGCGGCGAGAGCTGGAGGACATCTCAAATGGCACTAGAAGCTGAGGCAGCTGAATTGCATACCTAGTTAATCCCAGTAATGAAGCCTGAGGAGCAATGTGGCACAGTAGCCACCTGGTGTTTTCTTCGGGGTGAATTCAATCTGTTTCTAAGTTCTACCATCTCATTCCTTAGACTGTCACTAACTGTTAACAGATATTTAAAGCTGAATCCATTTGCCCACATATAGATGCCCCTTTCAGTTCAGGATACCTCAAGGAATCCCAGACACTCCCCAAGTTGTTTGGTATGACACAAGGATGCCTCAAAAAATGTAAGACAAGGTCAGGAGGACTGAAACGATGAAAAATTCGCAGAGGTTTAAAACCCATGAGGTTCTGACATGTTAAGGAGATATGTGACTTTAGGTGAGAATGCCCAAAGATTCCTGATCTCTTCTTCAGTACTCTAGTTATATTTCAATGACCATGCAGCAGAAAAAGAGGAATAAAATACCTCTGTCTGCAGAAAATAAAATTGTATTTCAAGATTCTTGATATTTATTTATTTATTTTGACACATTTAGCTCTCGGACAAAGTGGATAAATCCAAGCCTGGCACGGCATAGATTTAAAACTTTTTATTTTTAAAAAAAAAATTTATAGGGAAAATATCAGCTAGAAGCTGGACTATTAAAGTTCTAGTGCAGATAACTTTACAGCAGCCAGATTTGCTTGTTACACTCACCAGATAAGTTAAAAAAAAAAATCTGAATCTGAATGATGCAATTGAAGCTTTGATGAAGCTTTTTGCTTCAAATATGCCCTCAAATATCTGTTGCATGCAATAATAACACTTTTAGATTTTCAATTCAAGTGAATAGAGCTGAGCAGTTAGGTGTATTGACTTCAAATAAGTGTGATACAGAACATTCTCAACTAGGAGAACATAGTTTTGCCTGCTTTTCCTCTTTTTATAATATGAGGATTCGCTATGTGTGTTCCCTTGTGACATGCATGATACAGTGTTTTAAAATAACATTATAGTAAGCAAACTGGAAGAAATCTTTACTGGCTTTAATGGTAACTAGACAATATCCATTCATATACACACATGCATGCATCTAAGGAATTCTAACAGAGAAATAATTTGCATGCTAAACTTACATGCTTAAAAGTACACCAAAACTGTTTTCAATTAAAATAACAATATTTTATAGAACCACAGAATGGACAGACTGGAAGGGACCTTAAAGATCATCATCATCATTAGCCATCATCAAGTCATGTTAGGAGTTACTTCACTGAGCTGTTTTAGACTTCTGCATGTTACTGCAGTAATACACTTGCATGAATAGGAAATGGGACTTTAAAAGATTCTTCTGAAACACAGAGGAAAAAAATGCACATTAATTGATAATGCTTGTAACATAGTAGTTGTACAAAATGTTTTATTGAGAACTACAGCTCTGAAGTTGCTGTTTTGCAAGCTAACATAAGCTTTTCCATTAATGTCAATGTCATAATTGTGTAGGTAATTAAGTCTGATTATTTGTTAGAGAAATTTGCCTCAGGAGATACTTCAGATAGGTCATTAATGCTTTTAATGACTGTTTGGAGGCTGTGTTTTGCACATTACTGTGACAGAGGAAGAAGTACTCATAAACACAGAGAAAGGCAAAGCCACAGAAAGCTTCCTTACGATGACAGATCAAAGGGAGTAGGGAGACACGTGGTGATCACAAGGGAATTAAGCAGCTTGGTGATCACACGGTACAGCACTCAGTGCAGCTGAGGAAGTAGCAGGGACACAGGAGCTGCCACAGCTGAGTTACCACCAGTGAGCAGCACACAGACATATCCCATCAGAGGGGCTCAATGATCCTGCCCTCTTCCAACCTCTCTTCATCCAGGCCTAAAAATGTGTAATGGGTGAAAAAAGATTAAAAAGTCAGAATAAAACCAGAAAACTTGATAATAGAAAATGATAGGACTTTGTTTATACATTAATATGATGCTTCCTCAATAATTTTCAATTAAAAGAACAAATTAAGTAGTATAATAGTTGTCACTATAATAAAAGGAACAATGGCAAATTATTCCTATTGAAAAAATGAGAATCAAAAGTGATACAGCGACAATAAAAACATTTAGAAAGAAAATGGCTTATATTGCAGAATCCAGAAATCTGACAACCCTTCAGCTTGGATTTTACATTTTTCACTACAAGTGTTATCAGATGGCACAATTTTAAATTTAAGAAGCTTCCAGGAACATAATTTTTGTATAAATAATAATGTGAAGCATTTCCACATCTTGAGACTACAGCAAGGATCCATGGCAGCTCTGTATGTGGTCTGAGCTGGGCAAGCTCTGCTTTACCTTGTTGATGAGGCTTACTGCACCTTTTAGATCACTAGGCTGTAGATTGAAATATGTCATGTACATAGCTGAACTAATTCTGTTTTCATTATTAAAATGTAGCCTTAAGAAAAAAAAAAAAAAAAGTGGGGTGGGGGGAAAGAGGGAAAGAAGATTAAAGAGTGATCCCCATTACTATGAATGTCACCAGACACCTGGCTAGTTTTTTTGTATAGCTTCACTAAAGTCCTATTGTGTGCCCACATGAACACTGTGGCTGAAAAATAAAACCCAAACAAACGGAATAGAATCATAGAATTATTAAGGTTGGAAAGATCCACTAGAATCATCTAGTCCAACTGTTAACCCATCCCCACCCTGCTTACTGACCACATCCCTCAGTGCCACATCTCCATGTCTCCATGTTTCTTGAACACCTCCATGGGTAGTGATGCCACCTCCTCCCTGGGCAGCCTGTGCTAGTGTCTCACTGCTCCTTCTGACAAGAAATATTTCCTAAACCCAACCCAAACCTCCCCTGATACAACTTAAGACCATTACGTCTCATCCTATAGCTGTTACCTGGGAGAAGAGGCTGACACCCACCTCAATAATCATAGAATCACAGAATCATAGAATCGTAGAATCACAAGGTTGGAAAGGACCTACAAGATCATCTAGTCCAACCATCCTCCCACTACCACTGCTACCACAAGCCATTAAACCATATCTTGTAGCTCCTCATCCAGATGCCTCTTGAACACTGCCAGGGACAGCGACTCCACCACCTTTCTGGGCAGCCATTCCAGTGCCTGACCACTCTCTGAGAGAAGAAGTTCTTCCTCATGTCTAACCTAAACCTCCTCTGGTACAACTTGCGGCATTTCCTCGGGTCCTGTTTGCTGCCTGGGAGAAAAAGCCAAACCCCTCCTCACCACAACCTCCCTTCAGGAAGTTGTAGAGTGCAATAAGGTCTCCTCTGAGCCTCTTCTCCAGACTAAACAATCCCAGCTCCCTCATCCACTCCTCATAAGACTTGTGCTCCAGACCCCTCACCAGTTTTGTTGCCCTTCTCTGGACACGTTCCAGGGCCTTAATGTCTGTCTTGTAGTGAGGGGCCCAAAACTGAACACAATACTTGAGGTGCAGCCTCACCAGTGCTGAGTACAGGGGGATGATCACCTCCCTGCTCCTGCTGGCCACACTATTTCTAATGCAGGCCAGGATGCCGTTGGCCCTCTTGGCCACCTGGGCACACTGTCAGCTCATGTTCAGCTGAGCATCAACCAACACCCCGAGGTCCCTTTCCTCTTCACAGTCATAATAAACCAAAATAAGCAAGCAGATAAACTGAAACAGTGATTATTTTAACCAGATGTCTTCTTTGTGTCTCTTTATGGGGAGCTTTGAGTAGAGACTTTCCTCCTCTGTATAAGTATTTTGAGTCTCACTAAAAATGTTAAAGGGAGCAAAGGAAGATAGATGTACAATATATCTTGCCTGGACAGCCTATAAATTTAGAGTCTAAGACCTTAACCTTTCCATTAGTAATGTGATGCAGGAACAGAGCTATCCAAGTCCAAGGCTGTGATTGAGGACATCTCCCATCAGCTCCTTCAGCCTTATGCTGGAGACACTTAACTCTAGCATTACTACTCTAGGGTCTGATGACATGCATCCCAGGGTCCTGAAGGAACTGCCTGACACGGTTGCCGAGACTCTGTCCATCATATTTGAAAAGTTATGGCTGTCAGGTGAAGTTCCTGGTGACTTGAAAAAGGGAAACATCACTCCCATTTTCAAGAAAGAGAGAAAGGAAGACCCGGGGAACTACAGGCCCATGAGCCTCACCTGTGTGCCTGGGAAGGCCATAGAACAGACCTTCCTAGAAAACATGTCAGGGGACAGTAGGGATGAGCAAGAGATTAGAGACAGCCAGCACGGCTTCACTGAAGGCAGACCATGCCTGACCAATCTGGTGGCTTTCTAAAATGGAGCGATGGCATCGGTGGACAAAGGAAGGGCAACTGATACCATCTGCCTGGACTTGTGCAAGGCTTTTGATGTGGTCCCGCACCACATCCTTGTCTCTAAGTTAAGCGATACGGATTTGAAGGCTAGACCATTAAGCGAATAAAGAATTGGTTGGAGGGCCATAGCCAAAGGGTTGCTGTCAATGGCTCTAAGTCCAGCTGGAGGCCGGCCATAAGCAGTGTCACCCAGGGATCTGTCTTGGGACCGGTGCCCACGAGGTAGCACAGCGAGGAGCTGCACGCCTGCCGCCAGCTTTCCGCGGCCCTCTCCCACAAAGCGCACCATTCCCGCCGTCCCGGGCCGCACTCCGCACGCCGCTGCTCCGCGCCCGCCTCCCGCCCGGCCCTGCCCCGAGCGCCGCCCCGAGCACGGCGTCCCCGCCCGCCGCAGGGAGCCACCCGCTGTGAGGGGCGGGGGCCGCTGCGGAGCGAGCGCTGGGGAATAAGGCGTGCGGGGCGGGACGGGTCCGCGAGAGAATTGGATGAAAGAGCTGAAGTGTGGTTTCGCTTCTTGCTGTCCTGCCCTCATCTGTTTGCTTAGCACCAGCGCGGCTGTCACACGTGGATTTGCGCCGTCGTTTGCTTTGTGTATATTGTCCCGCTGACAGCATCTCTCCTCCGTCCCTGCTACTCCAACCTGGAAATTAAAACACGGGGAAAGTGGTATTCCATCAGGCATCTCCTGCACCTGTAAGTTCAGAAGACTTTCTACATCTTGCTTGCGCTTTTGCCCAAATATTTGAGTGTTGATTTTAGTCAAACAGAAGTCCTTAATTACATCCTTGTGACTGGAGTCTGCCTGGCAATGGGGATCACGATGGAGCCCGGTGATGGGGACTGAACTGGGTGCATTGCTAAAGGACGGGGAGGGGAGGGAAAGGGGAGGAGAGAGCTTTGGTTCTTCATTCAGAAGCTGGATGGAATAACCCTGAGAAAGGAGGAACTGCTGTGCTGTGTGTGTGACATTGTGGAGAAGGTCATGTTCCATTTCAGGCTGAGACAGGAGTGACTCACTGCAATTATGCCACCAAAAGATCAATAATCCACTTCAACTTTTTTGGTTCTTAGGGAAGAACACATTCTACATAGTACTTTTTTTAGCCTCTTACCTGCTTTGTGTTTCTACAGTGATCAGGAGTGAAGGGAAAGTGAAGGATCATGTCGGAGTTCTGGCTGATTTCTGCCCCAGGAGATAAAACAAACCTGCAGGCATGGGAGAGAATGAACACGGTGACATCCAAATCCAACTTGTCCAGCAACAGCAAATTCCATATTCCAGACTTAAAGGTAAGTGAGGAGAGGGTCTGGGTATGGGTGACAAAACATCCCCAGCCAGGACTAAGGATTTCTGGGATAAACGTGAGATTTATCATTTCAGAGAGCTGAAAAAGATTGCGACTGGGGGTGAGCTGTGTTCAGTCTACTGAAAACTGATTGGGGAGAGACAAGAGTCTTTTTGCTTGAAGATGACTTTCATGTGGGAAGGATACATGTGTAAGGAGTGAAGGTGACCGGTTAAATACAATATATTTCATCTCTGTACCATTTGCTTCCAATCACAAAAGTCACACAGCATTGTACATCTCGAATTGCTAATGCATGGGGAGCAGCTCAGTATCCTGAAGTATTCCAGTGAGACCACTGACAGAGCAGACAGTTCTTTATAATGCACATTACTCTGTAGGAAATAGATGTGTGTATATTCAGCTCTATTACTGGCTGTATAGCCTCATATCAGTGAGAACATTTATTCGTGACTTTTTTTTTTAAACTTATCTTTGCTTTCTTTAATTTTTCTTTCATAAGATCTGCACTTAATTTTTATTTCATTTGCATCTATGAGAAGTCTAAATATGTTTCACTGAAGTCAGTAGAGCTGCAACAGATGCAGTACTTGGTTCCTTGGGGAGCTGCCATCACCCATCTCTTACAAAGCTACACATGGTGCAGCCAGGGTCTGGCTTTAGTCCACGAAGATTAAGTTATGGCTTGACTGTTCCAGTTACTTAAGGATGCAAGTGAAAGGGGAGCATGGCCTTTTCTCAAGTGATAACATGCTGAAGTAGCACGTGGATGCTGCAGACTGCACATGCTACTTTTTACACATGCACCTGAGATTGCTGTGATTTTACCATCTGTGTGCCACCAGCACTGGTGTGAGTCCATTAACACTGAGGGAAACGAAGTATTGACATCATTGGACCATACAGCCAGCTCTCTGTGTTCTGCTAATTGTTCTATGCAAGACTTTTTTCTTCTCCTGTACTCCTTCAGCCTGACCCTTCATAATGTTGAGCTGGCAACGTCACAAGAAGAGGTTTGGCAATGCACTGCAATACCATAAATATAGAACTATGACTGTGACAGAGTCATGCAAAAAGCAGATGTTGGTCTTGGGAAAATGGTGTCTTGAGAGGCTTAGTGTTTGGCAATAGGAAAGAATGCAGAGACCCTCTTTTGAATACACTCTGCTTCCCTTGGTTCTCTCAGTACATTGGATTTGTTTTGTGTGTATGCTGTATGCATTTCTACTCATTATTTTGCTAGGTAAAAGTCTGTGCTACTCAATGACTCAGGAATGAAAACAGGAAGGAAGACATTGATGCTTGATCTTGAGACATCATATACACTTTTTCCTTTATTGGAAAAGGCTTTTTGTGCCTGGGTCTTGAGAAAAGGAATTGCTTTATTATCCACTGACTGAATAATGTTCTGCAGAACTGTTGAATTCAGAAATCAGAGTCCCTAAGACTGCTGACAGAATCCTTGGACACATGCATCTCTCACCTGCTTCTCATCTCTTGTACAGGTGGGGACACTGGATGCTCTTGTTGGTCTGTCAGATGAGTTGGGAAAACTTGATAGCTTTGCTGAAAGGTAAAATAGGTCTTATTTACTACCTACAAATGAGGAACAGACATTGTTTTTATGGGATGGTGTGTCCTTGGACTCACCTCAGAGTTGGTTTAACCCAGACTACAACTGAACTGAAGTGGATGGGTTTGTGTTGTGGTTTAATCCTTGTGTCAGTTGTCACAGAGTCATCACAAGGAAGGGACCATCCCTTAAAACCTGGCTAAATGGAGCCAGTGTCAGTTCTGTCTAAACAGTGATGCTTGAGTGGCTGTTTTCAAGGAAAGCTGTTCTCAAAGGGAAACAGCTGTGATTTTTTTGTATTCTTGAAGAACAACCTCCTCCTCCATCCAGAAACTCAAATTAATAAAGCAATATTTAGAAAATATGAAGCCCTCTCCAGTTTTCTTTTTCCCAGAATATTTGAGGTTTTTTTAACCAGATATAGGAGATATAAGGAATAAATTTTTCTGAATGAAATCGGGTACTCTTCCTTTCAGACTGTTAAACTCCTGGAAAGCCACAATATTGACTGGCATTGTGTCAAACCCATTTATGCAGGGAGGCTCACATGATCTCCTTGCTGATCTCTGCCAAGTTTGCCTTTCAGGCCAAGCTGACCTGGGTGGACAAAGGATAATAGAGTACAGAATGCTAAGGAAATGCCAGGTTTTAGGATACTTTATGGCACAAAGTAGTCTTTATTGATGAAACCTTTTTTTTTTGTTTTGGAAGCAAACCTCGCAGACAGCTGTGGCCACGTCAGCTCTGGGGCTTTTTGCCTTTTTTCCCCTAGACAGGCCTAGTGAAGAGCTGCCTGTCTGAATATGCCTTGTGCTTTCATAGATTGTTTGGTGGGTGCAAATGCATACAGAGATTCTGATATAAGCTGTTCAAACCTATGTTAGGCAGTTTGCATAAAAGTAAGTCTGCCAGAATACGTTTCTCCCTAGCGTAATTTTCTGACTTTACTGGTACCACAGTGGGGCTGAAATAGGATGATAACATTTGATCACTGGGTTGTACTCGATGTTGATCTTTTTAGACTTGCTTTTTCAGAATATTTAGCAGCACAGAGCACCTTAATACTTAATCAATAAGACTGTCTCGATTGTGACTCTCCCCATCTGGTAGGGAAACCTGCCCCAAGGTCTTTGTAAACGTGTTCGTGCCTCTGATTCATACAGCAGATTGTTCGTGCTGGAGTGAAAAGGGAATAGGAGTAAATCTGGGATGAGACAGTGCCAATGCCATCTATCTATTCCATTGCAAAGTTGGAAAGCTACTTAGGGCAGCAGCTAGCCAAGCAACTGAGTGATCTGAGTTTGAAGGAATCATGCAGAAGTGATTTTTGGAAGGGTTTGGCTAATTCCCACTTCTGCAAAGCCTGCTGTGGTGTCCATGTAAGATCACTGAGGGGAGTTTTAGGTGACATGTTCCCACTATTACCTTTGTCTTAACTTGTCAAGGTGGTACATAGTTCCTTGTTCAAGCTGAATGCCACTTCACTCCATTAACTGTCCTGTTAGTGACAGCAGTGGCACTTACCATGATGTATGCACTGAGCAAAAGAGTCAGTGAGGTTTTTACACAGTGAGCTGTTGGATATGGACTCCTCCTATTTGTCTTCTTTGTTTGTAAAACTATCTGATCAAAAAGGATTAATGAGATTTAAAACTAAGGAAAACGTGCTTAAAAATAAAAAAAATAGATTAGAGGAGAGTAATAACAAAGAATTATCAGGAGAAATGAATTAGAATTACAGTATCATTTTGTGTTAAATAAATGCCCAAGATTTGAGTATGTAATTGAGATTCAAGGGTTAAAATACCAAGCACTTGTACTTAGCCAAAGAAAACAGCATCTGGAGAGTTCAAGCCTGTTCAAATGACCTGAACATTTACATTCCTGCTCCTCTGAGGCAGCTACCTGCTGCACTGTTGCTAAATAAACAGGACTGCCAATAAAGGCAGCGCAAACCTGTCAGCGCTGCCTCCTGCCAGGACAGCAGAGAAGGGGCAGGAGTTTGCAGGATCTATTGTTTCCATGTACTTTTATTATTTATTTACACAGGGAGGTGGAGTGTTTTTCCATGTCACTGTAGGGTAATGTGGTGCTCTCTAAAGCTGACGTTCCCATCCGTCACTCCTACTTGAGCACTCTCTGGATCCCATGCCTGCAGGGCATTGTGCAGAGGCTGGAGATTGCAGGGTTCTGCTGTCTGCAGCTTTCTGTGCCCCCAGTGGGAGAGATGGTTAATATACAGTATTACCTAAAGAGTGTATGACTTTTATTTTTTATTTTTAGTTTTATTTTTAATGAAGTAATGTCATTGTAACACTTTCACAAGCAAAATCTGAAAGAGCACAAGAGTACGTCACTGTTACATCTGCATTCTCACCTCAGCCTGAGTGTGGGCAAAATGTGGAAAGACTCTTTGGTAAGGTTTGTTGTGACAGGAAAAGGGGAAATGGTTTCAAACTAAAACAGGGAATTTAGACTGGATATAAGGAGAAAGCTTTTTACAATAAGGGTGGTGAGGCACTGACACAGGTTGCACAAAGTGGTGATGGATACCCCATCACCCATCTCTGGAGGCACCCAAGGGCAGGCTGAAGGGGCTCTGAGAACCTGATGGAGCTGTAGGTGTCCCTATTCATTGTAGGGGAGTTTGACCAGCTGGCCTTTAATGGAGCCTTCCAACTCAGTATTAGTCAATGAAAACACAGTTCTCCATCAGTACTCAGCTGGCCTGAGGTCCTTAAGCATCTGCAGCCTGACAGTGAAAGCAAGAACAGCCCTTAGAGGGCTGTGAGTTGGAATGAGATGGTGTAGATTCCTCCCAGGGCATGGTACAGTATTTTGTGCATCAAGCCTAGACTCTGAACTGTTCCTCTCTGGTGTCAGAAAGAACAACTGTGAAGGTTTATTTAGCATCCCAGAGCTAATCTTCAGAGCAGATCTTCAACCAGGGTTAGACTGGATTGTTCTGTGTGTAGCCTCATATCCCTCCATCATCTTCAGAATGTGAAAACAAGTTATTTGTCTTCTGGTTTCTGCAATGAAAGCCATGAAATACAGTGTGCAGAAGATGGAATCTGTATCTTTTGGGAGTCTTGAGCACTGGGGAGATGGTATTACCTGTGTGTTTGCAGAAATCAGTGTAATTTAGTTCTGCTGTATGCCATAGGTTGTTTATTGCCATTTTAGTTGCAAATTTACCTGCCTTGCTTCAGAAGTGTGTTGTGTGGGTATTTCCATGTTTATCAGATCATTGTAGTATCTGTTTTGTGTTTGTGTTGTTTCTTTACTAATGAAGCTTCTCTTGTTAATTACACCCAAGCGTAATTAAGAAAATAGTCCAGTATATAGGAGAAGTTATGGAGGACTCCAAAGATAAAGTCCAGGAAAATCTTCTGGCCAACGGAGGTAGGTGCTGTGAATGGGGATATGTTAATGCATTGATGCTGCCTGTATTTGCTTCAGAATATGAGCATTCAGAATTGAAGCACTCACCCATTCGAAAAGACAACCCTCAGGAATATTTTCTAAGGGCACATCTAGCCACATTACATTTTTTCCAGAGTTAATAGAAACTCTATACAGTTCCAGCTTTGCTGCCAGGACAATATTCAGTGTCTGGTACTGTTCAGTGGAAGAAATATTTCTAACACCAGAGCTGAGGAGTGAAGAGGAAACCAGGAGACATTCCTAAAATGACCTTGCACTTTTTTCTGGCCTCCATGGGCTGGATCACTTCCAGGCAGCTAAATCATGTCCTAAAAGCCTGCATGGAATTGATTAGTGCTATATTAGTGTTTTCCTTTGCTTTCCCTGCTGCAGTGCTGGGACAGAGCCTGTCAGCTGTGGATTTCTAACATCACAGGTGGATGCTGGGGGCAACAATTTGACTCCTAGGGAGTTATGAGTTGGTTGGGAACAGCAAGACCAGAAATACTGCTATAATCAGTGTTGCAGTAACAACGAAAGCCTAAGGAGTTTCCTACTCTGCTGGCTTGGATTATGTACTTTCTCTGTTAGAGGAGCTGTGGTGCTGTTCTACAGCAGGTAGGTGGTGAGGTCTTGCAGGCCTGTGCAATCAGCACTATGTGAGATCTCCATTGTGAGAGGAGGGCCTTGTCACTGCCCTGCCCCTATGCTGCTTCCTTAGAGGAGCCAGGCTGCACTCACAGGGTGATGCCAGAGACTGCTGGGATGTGCACTGTTGTTCCCGTTACAAATAACTTCTCTTTGGTTTCCCTTGTGTTGTCCCTTGTCCTGCTTTGATGGCAGCTATTGTATAGCAGGCAGGGACACTTCTGACATGGTAAAGGATCACTGGAGCCCACAAGTTAGAACACAGAATATCCCAATTTGGGAGAGACCCACAAGAGTCAAGCCCAAACGCTGGCTCCATTCATGAACACCCAAAATCAACCCTTGTATCTGAAAGTGGTGTCCAGATGCTCCTTGAACTCCAGCACTCAAAACCTGCCCACAAGTGGGCAGCTTATTCCATGCCCACTGCCCTCAGGTGCAGACCCTGTCCCTAACCTCCAGCTGCCCTCCAACTCCCCCTCCCCCCCACCACAGCTCCATGAGAGCTGCCTCTCCGCTCCCTGTTGAGGAGCTGCAGCCGTGGTGAGGCTTCCCCTCAGCTCCTCTGCTCCGGGCTGAGCACACCGAGGGACCTCAGCCACTCCTTAACCATCCAGACTCTTCCCCATCTTAATAGGTTGTGGAGAAAGTCCTTTTAGAAATGTCTTTTGTGCATGAAATCAGATTGGCTTTTTATGTGTGCAACTACTGGCCAAGTACAATAATCCCACTTATTTATGTTACAGGGCGAAAGGATAAAATGAAATGTCTGAAAAGTATGTTGAGGGTTGCTGATTGCAGTGTTGCTACAAGCATGCATTTGGGTGTAGTAGTTCTAGAAACAAGTCTTGGTCTGGTTGTAGAGATACAGTGATCACGTTACGATGGATTTCTCAAGTAACAACCTCGTAGCTTGATCACGATATCCCTATGACTTGAGAAACAACAGGTTGAACTTATTTCCTTTGTTTCCTCTTTTTACACTCTTTTCCCTTCCTGTCAGCTCTGCGTGTGTTGTAACAGAAGGATGTGGAAGATTCTTCTATATGCTACCAATTTCAGTCCTTTGGTCATCCAAAGGAGTCATATGTAACTAAGACCTTTTTAAGATTATTGATTGCATCTTTAAAAAAAAAAAAAAATCATTTTAATATATAAATATATTTAGGATTCCCCTGTTACAATCCAATCTCATTCCTCACAAGCAGCAGCAACACTGAATTCTTCCTCCTTCCCTTTTTGGATGGCAAAAAAACCCTAAAACTGAAGGTTATGAAATCAGAATCAAAATTGTAAGACATGACTTCTTGCTGCAGAGTCCGATTTCGGGCTATAAGACCATGCACACTCAGGTTTTTGATTACAGATGTTCTGGTTTTAGCTCAGCTTTATGAGTTCCTGACAGCAGTTTGGACCACCAGCTGACTGAATTGTTGGCTGTGCCTAGCAATTGTCTGGTTAGAGTTGTGGGAAGGAGAACTGCAAGCATCAGCTATTGCAGCCCTTTCAGTTAAATGAATATACCTTCTGCATGCTGGTGGGCAGTAGCTGGAAGCAGCCGTGTGGAGATGCCCCTCTTATAGAAAGAAAACTTGTATTTGTGTATACTGGGAATTTTATTATATCACAGCAGCAGGAAATGCTTTCTTGCTTATGACAGCATCAAAAAATATGAAAAGTAAGTAAAGATTTTTTAAAATGTTTGGACTGAATTCTGTTCCTTTGTAGTAAGGTGGGCCCAAAATGACTTTTGAAATTTGGTAAGTAGTGGGAATAATGCCAGTCTTTATAATGGGCTCAAAACTGAAATGAACAGAAAGGCAAAATGAGAAGCATAACGATTTTGAAGAATTAAGTATTTTGTAGGGGAGGTAGTTTATATTGCTGCTCAGAGCTGGCTGAGTGCAGCAGAGCTAGGAAGTGTTCAGCCTGTGGGATTCCTGGGCTTCTGAGGAGGAGGCATCTCTCTTGGGCAACAGCAAGGAGAAGCAGCATAGAAGGGAAGGGAACTGGGAGCACGGCCGAGGAGTTCACTTGTGGAATGGGCTGAAGGCTCACACTGTGCTTAACTGCTGAACAGCTGAGTTCTGCTGAGACTGAGGAATGTGAGAATGAAAGGGGCACAGGGAACTTCTGTATCTCTGCTTTGCCCCCTTTCCACATGCTTCCTGTGCTTCCAGGTCATGCATTGGCAGGAAGGGCTGAATCTGTGTGTTAAAAGGGAGAGAGAACACAGTCATGCCAGTGTTTTCTGCTTTCTGTTCAGTATATCCTTAGATAAGAAGTTGTCTCCTCCTTTCATAAGACTTTCCATGCTTTGGAAATCTAATAGGGTAAACTGACTCTGATGTGGGGTGAGAAGCCCATGGAAAGGATAGTGCTCCCCTGGCAGGGTGTTTGATGTCACACAAGGCGGGGTGGTACCCTCAGCTTGGTGCTGTAGCAATCAAACAACTTTTCACATTCCTTCTCATGCATCTCTGTTCATACAGTGCTCCTCACTCTGTGTGCAACCCACAAGGAACTGTGTTCAGCCCTTGCCTTGGGAATGGTTAACTCTGCACCAGGCAGTGAGGAGCACTGAGCAGCCCCACTTGTCCCTCCTTTCCTTGGACAAGCTTGTTCTGTCCCGTTTCCCCATGGCAACTTCCCACATATTCTCTATCATGAGTGTCTGGGAAGAAGCCCATATGCAGCAAACAGTGTCTCTGTTTCAACTATTTTTTACTTTGGGGATGCTTAGATTGAGCATTTGATTTGTGCAGATTTGATCTAGATCGAATTTCTATGAGAAATCAGAGGTGGGCCAACCAAAGCTCTACATAGGATGCAGCTGGGGGCTGCCACCTCAGCCTTGAGCTTCCATCATGTCAGTTGTCTGCTTTAATGCATTTCTTTGTATTTCCAGTTGACCTGATTAGCTACTTGACCCGGTTTGAGTGGGATATGGCCAAATATCCCATAAAGCAGCCACTGAAGAATATATCAGAAGCATTAGCAAAGGTAAACTGTGCTTCAGGTTTTCAGAAGATCTCAGAATGGGGAATCATGTCTTTTGGCAGTTTTTGGTCTCTTTTGTTACAGCAGTCAGTGAGAGTTCTGCCTGTGGTTTGGGCAGGAGCATGTTCAGAAACTCACTGCACTGCAGCAGTTGATTTATTTTAATTTCTACCCTAATAACACCAATAAATATCTATATATCTGTCCTATATAGAGATATACAAGCCTATTCATTCCATAAATATATGGACCTTTATCAGATTTATTAGACTACACTGATACATTCTACATTTTAGTCCTCTTCACTGTAATATTTTATTGTTTTTACTTACTGCATAATCATTCTCCACGTTGGGGTTTTCTTGTGAAATCATTGGCCTGCATTAAATCCAACACGTTGCAGGTTGGATGAATTATTTACACTGGCAGCCTGTTCAGGAAGGAATGAACTGTTGTTCAATGTAGATAGCAAATGAAATACACAGTAACAGCTAAGCAAGTCCTTCTTGCTGCAGAGACCATCGCCCATGACTAAGCAGTTCTGTGGAGCCCAGAACTGAAGTGGGCTCCATCTTGGCTATGTTCAGATGGCTTTAGGAGGGGTTGACAGCTGTGTTATCTCTCTGCAGTGCAGAGGTAGGAGGAGGAAGGTGAGGATGACGCCTCAAGCAATTTCTCAGTTCACTTTTTTTATTTTGTTTTAGCAAGTTACTCAGATAGAAGCAGACCTAAAGACCCGATCAGCTGCATACAACAACATTAAAGGAAATTTGCAAAGCCTGGAGAAAAAAACTGTGTAAGTACAGTGTGTTCCTGTTGAGCTCTGAAATGCTGCATGGATGATGTGAGAGCAGTGCATGCCACATCTACTGCTGTGCAGTGAACTGTGTGTGCTGTGATGGGTGCAAACATAGTGCTTGACTTTGGGGCACAGTGAGCATCCAGAGATGAAGGGGAAGCCAAGGTGGAAACTGGTGTGAGCAGCATGTCTTAAAATCAGCTCAGGGGAGACTGCAGTTCCTCATATGACTTTATTAGCAGTGGGAGGACAAAGTAGTGGTAAAGAGTCAAAACCAGATGCCAATATATTGCATTTTAGGGAGTAAAAAATTAGATAAGCTGCGTCAGCCAGTAGATTTCTTTGCAACACAGAGCTGTGTCCTTTGGAAGCAGTGCAAATGCTTTTCAGAAAGCCAGTTTTAAAATATTCCAGCCAAAAGCATTTATTTTCCTTCTCTGCTGAGCCTACCTCACCAGCATCTCACTTTCATTTCACTTTTGTTCTGTTCTGCTGGTCAGGGCAATACTTTCTCAGAGTTTCCAAAATACTTTTTCTCCCGTCTTCAATTGCTTATGATCTTTTCCTATGTGCTGCTACCTGGAGTTGCAATAAAAATGAATAAATGGTGTAGCTGTGTCCTTTAGCCACCTCTTCTCTGTATTTTTCAACTCTAGGATGCACTATTGTCAACCATATTTACAGCATGGTGTGCTGCTGCTGGGTTCCTGCTAATGTCATTTTTTTCTTTATCTCATTTGCTTTAGGGGAAACTTGCTGACTCGGACCCTCGCAGACATCGTGCATAAAGAAGACTTTGTTCTGAATTCCGAGTACCTCATCACACTGCTAGTCGTGGTGCCAAAGTAAGGCGATGGTGTGCACACACTCAGATGCGATGTTGAGTTTCAGACCTAAGTGTTGGATGCAGGCACTACTGGATCAGTTGGGACAGCTGATCTGTGCTGTGTCTGGGGAGCAGGTGGATCCATTAGCAAAAGGAACGGACTGCTCCCAGCTCAGAGCAGGACAGAAGTAGGATGTGTAAATGTTACAGAACAGGTTCTCAAACAGCCTCCTGGTAGGAGTTAAGAAAAACCAACACGGCAGAACAGATTTGTACTGGAGCTGAGACAGTTTATAAAAGGAATCAGACCTGTCAAACCCACAAGGGCTCTGCTGGTCATGTATTTGTAAGTGCCTGCACATAGGATAATTGCTGTCGCCATCAGTTGTGAAGGTACAAGGTATCCTTCCTTCTAAAAGCCTGCACAAAACTTGTCCTCTTTGTACAACACTATTCTAACATGCACGCACAGTACCATCACTTTTCTGTCTGAAAAACATGTTACAAAAAGCTAATCTAGGTAAGTTTATTAAATCTATTACCAGCATCTTTTTTTGGGTTCCTGCTATAAACACGACTCACTTTGCAAACTTTCCCTTCTCTTGGCCCCATTCTCCCAATGTTGCTACTTGCCATATTCCCAGCGTTGCACCACATCAGCACTGGACCATGAGACACTTATGTGGAGCTCCTGGAATACAGGACACATGGCAGCCTATACATGGAAACCAGAAGCCTCAATTTTTCCACCCCCAGCTTCCTGCTTCACACTTCCTCATCCCAAGACCCACAGTGAGGGAGGACTGAGGATGATATAATGGGAAGCCTCCCTGTAGCTAGTGGCTTAGGACAGGAAAGGACAGAAGAAGCTCTGCTTTCACACAACCCAGCACAAAGAGCTGCCACTCTAAGCGATTAGCTTCATTATTTTTATCAACACATTCTCTTTCTGGTACATTGCATTTATTTACTCTGTTTTCCTTTGTGTTGCTCAAAGATCAAGCTACGTACAGTGGCAGAAGACCTATGAATCCCTGTCTGATATGGTAGTGCCTCGCTCCACCAAGTAAGTGACATCCCAAATTAATGTCCCTGCTGGCTGCAGATATCCCTGCCATGTCTGTCACTCAAGTTTTTCAAGAATCCTTGACTGATATATAGGCTCTGTATGTTAACGTATGGATTTGCCTGGTATCATTCTCACTTGAAAGTGGAAATTATTATGTTGGAGGAAAGTACAGATAAAGCCTTAGTCTCCATTTTTTTTTCCTACAATTAGCTTCTTGTTGCTCCCTTTTCCAGTAAGCTAGTTCTTTACACTTGCTGTGATCATATGAACAACAAAACAAGGCTTTTGCTTGTTTTAGAAAGATAAAAGCTTGTTACAGTAATCCAGGCCTAATTCAGGCATATAACCATGTACAACTTTATGAAAGCTCCTTTTAAAAAATCACTACTTCTGCATCTTCAATTGTTTTCTGCAGTAAAACAGGATAATTCAGTGAATCATCCTGCCATTTGCATTAGCATATTCCATATTAACAGCTAGAGTGAAAAAAAATCCTTACTAGGAATTAAATATTCCTCTGCTCAGCTCAAGGCAGACATGATGTCCAACCCAGGGTGTAAGAGGTGACTCTCTGACTGTCACATTATCTGAAATGGAGGAAGCAGAAAGCACAGAGAGAGGAAAGCTTTGTGCAACTGCTTGTCTTAAAAACACATACATGGAACAAGCAGAGGAACATATTAGGAAACAGAAAAAAAAAAGTACGTGTAAGCAGGCTGTCCGCATCAGAGATACTGTGGTTGGTGCTGTTAAAGCCTTTGTTCCCTATTTATTACATCTGTCTTGAAAAGTGAGGCATTGTTCAGTTTCATAAATGAAAGAAAGATCTGCAAAAGGGAAAGGTAGAGCGAGTGTGAGAGATTGGCCATGTCAAATCACAGCAGGGGTTTTTCCCTCTCACAGAATGATTGCTGAGGATGCCGAGGGAGGACTCTTTACAGTCACCCTATTTAGAAAAGTGATGGATGACTTCAAGGCTAAAGCTAGAGAGAACAGGTAAGCAGTCATGCTTTGCAAAGAATCCAGTAACTGTTCTTCCTGCTCTCGTGCGATAGACAACAGGACGTTTGCTTTCTGGAGTTGACTTCAGTTCCCACTCTGCAAATCCTTTAAATGGCCAGCAGCTTCAAAACATCCCCATCTTGCTTCATCAGAGGCAAAAGAAACGATTGTACATACTGCTTGGATTATGGCTTGTGAGAGCAAATGTCGTTCAATTGTAGGTTCATGGTTCGAGAGTTTTATTTTGATGAGAAGGAACTGAAATGTGAAAAGGAAGAGCTGATGAAGCTAGCTTCTGATAAGAAACAGCAGTATGTAAGTAGTACAGCAAGTTGCTGGCCTCTATACTGACAGCCTTTGCTACCTGTGTGTAAGGATCTCACTTAGAAGAGGCTTTCTGATGCCAGTAGATGCCTGTGAGCTCCAACGAGCACTGAAAACTGAGGCATGGGGTAGATAACACCATTTGCCCAAGGTCACACAAGTTTCTGATCTACTAGGGGACAATAATGGCCTGCCTGACAATTAACTCAGCAGCCCATGATGCATGACATGGCATTAGCAATGGAGCCATGTCATGCAGCAAAGGAGGAATTGCAGTGCTGTTACTTCTGTTCTCATAGGGCCCATTACTGCGCTGGCTGAAAGTGAACTTCAGTGAAGCATTTGTGGCTTGGATTCACGTGAAAGCCTTGAGAGTTTTTGTTGAATCAGTCCTGAGGTACGTGGGTACACATACAGTGCTGGCAGACTCCTATCAAAGATAAAAAGTACCAGCTCACTTTCTTCATGGGGGGAACATCCCCTACAGAGAGCTCCAGGAGCTCACAGGAGATGGTACAGATGACTACAAAACAGGTGACATATAAAGCTGATGAGATGTTTGTTTGGGGTCACTTAAAGGAAAAAGAATGGTACTTAGTTCCCCTATGGCTTCAAAATAATAGTGCTTTCAGAGGAGGAGGCAGCACAGCACAACCAGGACCTTGCAATGCATAAACTATCCAGTGTGAAATGCACCAGGAGGTTGAAGAGGGAGAAGAGCAGGAATGGAATGGGGTGACCTGCAGAAAACAATGGGGTATTCAATGGGGTATTTTGCTGTGTTTGCAGATATGGCCTTCCAGTGAACTTCCAAGCAATGTTGCTGCAACCAAATAGGAAATCAGTAAAACGCCTGAGAGATGTCCTAAACGTGGTCTTCAAACATCTAGATGAAGTTGCAGCAGCAAGTATAATGGATGTATGTATTTGGACTACAACTGCATGAACTGGAGCTTGTCCCATTTTAGTCCAGGGGTTGGAGCAAACACCTCATCATACTTCACAGTGCAAGGATCTCTGGATACAGCTCTAATCCCCAGTGCTTATGAAAAGGATTAGTGTCAGGTAGGGTCAGGTTATCACAGAGAGTTGCAGAGTGTGATTACAGTTTCAGTAAGCAACTGCTGCTTACAGCTGCCAGCCTGAAATAGGTCTGCTCACTTATAGCAGTTCCTCCAGGTAAGCTTCAAGCATTCAGCTCAGTGCCAGCAACAGAACTGATGTAAAACAAATGCTAGGACTCTGAGATCTTGCTCTGCAGAAGGCTGTCACTGACTGAACATCTCAGCCTAGGACTGCACCAGGCAGCAATACTTGTTTTCCCAGACCTTGAGTGCACCTTTCAAGATAAACCAAAAGGAGTTTACAACTGCCTGAAATCAGGCAAGCAGTAAGTTCCCAGTGCTTAAGCCAAGGAGAAAAAAGGAAATATCAATACTGTGTTAGACAGCCTACCAAAACCACCAAACAAACACCAGATTCTCTGAAAATTCTTTGTTAAGCTAGCAAATACAAGATTCCATTCCACCTAAGTGAAGCAAGCAATCTGCTTTAGCTTGGAACAGCACAACACTTTTATTGATACTCATGTTGTTTCCTTTTGCAGCCTGGCATGGACATCCCTGGTTTACAACTGAGTAATCAGGAATACTATCCTTATGTCTATTTCAAGATTGACCTCAGTCTTCTCGATGGCAGTTAAGAGGAACAAACCAACCATTTCATCTATTAATTTTCAAGACCCAAATGTTATAAGAATTTTTAGCTGTTGAAATTCAAATTGAAATGCTGATGAATAAGATTTTTCTAACACTGTCAGTAATTTTTTTAAGTGGCTTCAAACATCTTCAGTTCATAGCATTATAAAAACATTTCCGAGGCAGATGATACTATGGTAGTATTTATTATTTTTTGGTAAATTACAAAGATGGAATCTCTATTGGACTTAAAATTAAACAGTTTTGTGGCTGATTTTTGGTGTGGTGGCTAATGTTTCTACTAACTGTACAGTACTGACTTTGTAACAAAGCAAACTTCAACCAGGAAAAAAGAAAGGACAGAGCATCAAAGCAAAGCCCCAAGGCTTTTGTTTGTTTCTTAAGAAGAGTTTAAAAGATTGACTGGAGAATGACTTGCGGTTCCAAGTGCTCACAAGTTCAGTTTTTGCCAAGACACATCAGTTAGAACACATCTGTTAGAATAGCGGGGACAATGCAGAATTGAAGTAGGTTTCCTGCCCCACATCAGTGGTCAGGCTGCCTGCCAACACTTACTACTGCTCCTAGCTCAGCGCTATGCAAGGCAAGCTCTTACACACAACACCAGATGAAATATTCCCATTTTAAGTTATTTCCTTGAAAATATGGGAACTTTCAGTTCCTTCATTCCCTACTTGGAAACAAACTGATCACGAGGGTCACTTTACTAGACAGTGATAAACAAGACATGGAGAGCAGCAAAAGGCTATGGTGTTTTCTTATTAAGAAAAGAAAAAAAAGGAGCGCTAACTGTCTTTACTCCCAACTCTGCTTCCTCTTCAAAGGTAACTGCAATTTCATATCAAAACAATGTCAGATGGAAAGAGAAATACCAGATCCAGTCTGCCAGAGACAGCACTTTGGCTTTTTACTATTAGCACCTAGAAATACTCATGCCCTAAAAATGGGGATTAGTTTCACTGCCACTCCTGGGGAAAAAACCAGCAGCTCCCAGCTCAGCAGCGTCTTCTACTGGATGGCATCTCCCATTGCAACAGCAACCCAACTCCCATTGTTTTAATGATCACATCAAGGCTGGCACAAAGAAAGAGAAAACCCCTGAGAAAGAATAGGAAAGGGAAGCCTGAAGAACATTTAAGCTAAGATGGCCTCTCCAACCAAGCTTTAGCACAAACCATCAATACCTTTCACAGTTAAAGCATTCAGGATAGCTCTCTTCCCCAGCCTCTCTCTTCTGCCATTTGCTTCTGAAGAGTCATTCAAACCAGGATAACTCTCAGCATGTGCACCTCCATTTCTCTGTACAAGACTAACACTGTGTGTCAAAAATATTCCGTTTTATTTAATTGAAACAGAAGACCAGGTTCTACCTCCACAGAAAAGAAAAAAACACATTTAAAATTGGTTACACTAACAGCCTTCTGTAACACTCAAACAGCACACTGTCAAAAAAAATAAAACCCAAGATGTTTCAAAGAAAAAAAAAAATTGATGTTGTCCTCAAAATATTTGTTACACAGAAATACAATCAAGTTTACTGGTTATGACAATTCATAGAATTTCTGCAATGTTTTCTTGAGTTGCGTACAGTTCACTGCTGCAGTGCATCAAATAGCACAGTGTGTCATGTGCTATTTCTCCATAAAAAGGCCACTGGAAAATCCATCTGAACATGAACCAGGTTGCAAACTGCTGCGCAAACTCTCCCAAGAAAAGAAGTTTCCTGAAGATCTCACAGCTCATCTTTATCCCAGATATCATCAAGATCCACGTCACTGAGGTCAATATCATCTTCAACTGGAAGCTGTGAGAAAGCAACAGTTTTGAGCAAATGTTTGTCAGCAAACAGCACTGGAGTATCACTGACTTAGAAAGATCCTTCATAGAAAAAGCAAAGTTCCCTCCTGTCATTTCTGGCTCATAAGAACTGACAGCACTTGGAGCATAGGACAACTGATTGGAGCTTAGACAGGACAAAGAATGTTTGCTACTTACTCATTAAATATACCCCATATAAAGTTAATTGCAAACAGTCAAGGTAACAGAACTAGTACCATATTCACAGAATTATAGAATCATAGAATGGCCTGGGTTAAAAAGGACCACAATGGTCATCTATTTCAACCCCCCTGCTATGTGCAGGGTCAGATGGAATGAAAATACAGTGAAGTAGACCGAAGATTGTGATAACTGGTCTTTACTGCAGTGCTGAACTTCAAGCAAGAACATACTCAGATCACTCTGTGGGCTTTAACTTATGAACTCAGTAAAATCAGTGTATCAAGGAATTTCCACAACTTTTGGGCATATGCTACAATCTTCCTTACTCAGCATGGATTAATAATGCATTATTTCAGCCGCAAGGGACTGAACTTTCTTATGACATTCTAACAGGCAGGAATGCCTGTCCATAACAGGAGACAATGAACCTGGTACCTACCTTCCTGCTACCTAATTCCTGCATCTGAACCACCAGGATGACTTGCTACAGTTTCCCCCACTCGCCACACTTAGTTACTGTCTTAGATACTGTCCCTTTGCTTCTGAACTGTGCAGAACATCAGCACTTCTATACACAGAGCACTTCTTACCTCACCATCTTTGCCATCCCAAGGTTCAACTGCATGAATTTTAGGGAAAGCTCCACCTCCTACTGGTGCTGTAGAACCACGACCAACAGACAGTTCCCTGAGAGGAGAGAAATTAAACAATTTTCTCCAGTTTCCATCCATCTGGAACAGGGCCTGCCTCAGATTAAAGGAAAGCACCCGACTACCTTTCTTCAGAGATACGAAGATCCCAGATTTAAACTATTTTGAAGTAGCTTTTCAATTTGCAAAGCAGAAAATGATAAATAGCCTTTAAAGCAGCATGGAGAATTCACAATTAAGATTCCAAAGACAGAGAGAGACAAACATTTTAATCTACACTGTTTCATATTTCAGCAGTGCCCTCTGTAATCCTCATAGACAAATGCAGGCCCTTAAAGAGATGCACAATATACTGTTAATACAACTCAAAGAAGAGTCTCTAATTCCAGTTTTAGGGATGACCTATTTAATGCAACTCTAATTTTGAAAAACTGGAGATAATGTTTCTTTTAAGCAGACCCTAAGCCCCTGCTGTCCAGGATAACCAGCTCCTGCTTGGAGGCACCCCATTCTGCACCTGCTGCTTATGCTGGCTGAAGAAAGCTAACATCACAAACTGAAGTGTTATTCCTTTTGCATTCTTTCAGGGGCAAATAAGACACAGACCAGAAAGGTGACTTGTAGTAGAACAGCACTGATTACCAAACCCTAAGAATTCCTTTGGTTACTGGAGAAACAGAGGTTTTTCAAGATCAAAATTTACTTCTTAGTTTTCAAACTATTTTCAAAAGTCTTAATGAAACCATAATCAAATTCTAAATGGCTGACTTCCTGACTGTATCTGTTCACTACAAGAAAGTACTGCGACTGTTAAGCAGTTCTATTGAAACTATTTCCTTTCTCCATCTTTATTTTGAGCCACAGCCTCTGTTTGAAGGATTCCTTACCTTAGAAACTCATTAATCCCTTGCTCACTGAAGGATCCTTTCAGGAGGGCAAATTTCATCTTCCGGGCATTAACAGCTGCCATTGCTGGATACCCAAAGCCTCCTATTCCCAAAGAGCTCTCAAGATCTGACTGAGCACCAGCTTCGGTCCACAGCCATCTTAAGGTAAGAAAAAAAAAATAGGAAATGGAAATCAGGAAAGGCACTACAGTCATTTTAGTCACACGCATCTTGCAGCCCTGTAGTTAGCCCTGCCCTCAACAGAGCCAACTATTCACATCAGCAGGGAATAGCAGGTTCCTGGTTTTGAACCAAGTAGTAGAAGAAAGTCGCTCCTGAGCAACACTTGCAGGCCATCCCCACTGTCACAGCTGCTTTTCAAGTGAATCGCAACAACCATGCAAGGTATTCTAAAGAAAGAACTATTCTACCAATCTGAACAAGTTTCTGCACCTCTAGCCTACATTAAGCAAGGTTTATGACGAAGTACTGACTACATCCCACTGCAGAGGATTTCTGGACTAACACTAGAAGACCAACATTTCATCCAGCCCTGTTTTCTCACTGGTCAGGTCTCAGTTTCTCTAATACTTAGCAAGTCCACAAGGACCCTTTGGAACCAGCCAACTTCCACATTTCTTCCTCACACTTTCATGCTGGTTTGCCCTTTCTCAGCAGTCAGCATTTGAACAAATCTCACTTTCCAGAGAGATTAACATGTATTCTAGAGGAAGAGGTGGAACCCGCTGGTTTGCTCCTTTAGGAGCATGAGATTTGTTAATAAGATTTTTTATTTTTTTTGAGAATGCAGTCACACTGGCAGCATCTCCAGTAAATACTCAAAGTCTAAAATATCACCCTAAAATATTTTAACATTCACAAGAGTACTTGATCACATTAATGCTTTTATATAGCCTGCACAGGCAGGATTTGAGGTGCATTAAGAGATGAGGAAAAAAAAACAGTTTATTCTACAGCTGCAAGCACCTCTTAGCTCAGTCAGTGAACAACCAAGATAGAGAATCCAGAACAAGGAACAACTCTGTCTGCAGGTACATCACTTCCATACAAGATTCTCTCCCATCACCTCTAAAGATGTGCACATCTTATCCAAGAATACCAGGCCACTATGCCACTTACCCCCACATTTTCTTTTTGTATTTCTCAGCCATTTTTAACATGACATCCAGGTAAGAATTTCTCCCCGAGGCTCCTGTTTGTCAGACAATTAAACAAGTTAAACACAACCACAGGCTTAAAGGGACAAATTCCCAGAGGAGACTGCTTGCTTGTACATCTACCTGTGTCAAGAATATGAGGCAAGACAGAAATGATGCAGAGCTGATGAGCATCGCAGGTAGTCTTCAGAACATCTTCGCTAATAATCTAAAAGAAAGACAAAGAAAAATCAGTTAAAAATAAGACTCCTGTTATCTGCTGTGACTGCACTTCCCTCCAACAGCTCATCAGCTCCATCCAACAAGGTAATAAGCATCTGAAGCAATACAGACCTTAAAGGCACTGCCTACTTCGCTCATCCCTCAAGGTAAGACTAACTTCATAAAACCTTCTGTAAAGGGCTGCAGCAACTGGAAACAAGCAGTACCACACAAGGCTTACAGGGAACACAGCAAGATGCTGCTCCTGCTCAAGGTAACTGTCCTTGGACCAGGGCTGGTGTAGAACAAACCACTGATCTAATTACTGATCACTGCAAACAGCACACCCAGACCTACACATGTGCCTGTAGTTCTTTCATGCTGTTGCTAGCATAAGGGGAGCCAGGAGGGTGCAGCATTTGCTGAAAACAAGAAAATTAATTGCTGCTTGATGGAGCAATCCCAGTTTCATCTCATCTATTACCTTAAAAAGGAAATCAATCCATTTATTTAGACCAGTGATTGACAAACTCTGTGCACCACTCGGTTTGCAGCCTCAAATATATTAACACAAGTTGCATCCATCTGCTATTAGTATTTTATAAAGCACATACAAAAGATGTTAAAAACAATCAGGTGAAGATACTCATCTCAATAAATTATCATTTTATCAACAGTAAAGATGTTTTCTCTTCCTGCAGCTCAGTGTTTTGTCTTGCCCACTGAGGGTGCACATACCCCATTCTGCAGACAACTGATTCAGATTACCATTCCAATCCTACTTTCATCAAGCCAGAACTAGAAGTCACCATACTGAAGGCAGAAATTTTTGGACAACAGGCTGTGTCAGCTTTCATACAACTCCTACTGGACAGTATAGATGATAAAATCCTACTGTCTTGTTCTTCACTCAGTTTTTCACTCATTTCACTCTCAACAGAGAGAATTAAGATGTACTGACACCAATGCTGGTGGTGCCTTCACTGTACCAATTCTCAGCCCTTCAGTGAACAGGACATTCACAGTAAGAATAAAATAACAGAAAGCTAAGTGATCAGACTTGCTATTCTTGTCTATTTCTGCCACGATATGGTGCAGAAGCAGCATAACTTGGCTGTTTCATTTACAATCAATACAGTCCTGTAAGAACTACAAAGGATATACTGGAGAAGAAATCTGGAAAATAATAAATGAAGTAGAAGTACCTCCAGGAGCTCAGGCGGTGGTGCGTTATCAGAAAACAGATCCAGAGCACGAGCAATTATGTCAGACCTAGTTCTTCCTCCATCATAATCAACAGGGTCTTCTCCTTTCTGGAATATTTTAATTGTGGGAAAACCACGGATCTGCAAGACAAGTTAAAATAACTAGCTAAATAAATCTGAATGTTTATGGTGGGTGGCATCCACTACTCTGCTGTACCCTGCATTAAGAGGAAGAAATTTAACATCTAGGTGAATCTTAGAATACACTACAAGGGAACTTCAACAATTTTGTTGCTTCTGCAACAATTCAAAACAGCACTAACACACTGAAACAATGTTTCGAGTTTTAGGACACACAAGGAGCAAAGGCTTCAGCTTCAGTTCACATTGACTGAGCACTGCACGCTTCCTACTTCATAGGCACTGGTTTCCCAATTTGTCTCAGGAGAGACAGTGCAGTGCCCACAGTGCAACAAACACACCACTGGCCCCCTCTGCTACACTTCACATGCAACGTTCTTAGTGCTTCTGATTGCCAGCAGCACTCACTGTAGCACTGAGTAGCACTCACAGGGAAAATAAGCAGCACAGTGTAAACCCTCCCATATTATATTAAAAAAAAAAACTAGGACTGGCAGTTTGAGCGCACAGCATAGCTGATCAAGGCAGTTAATACTGGCAGAGCAACTCTTGACGTGGCTCAGAGCTGCACACGTTCTCCAAGCATCTCCAGAATACATACACATCTGAAGGATGCTCTCTCACTTCAGCTGATAAAGTCATTCAAGACATCATGACGATAAACAGCTTTACTCATCAGCAACATTCAAGTTTACTCCTTTCCTCTAACTCCTTTTATGTTGCTACTGACATTCAAGAATTGCATACAAATTGTATGTGCCATTTAATATAACACAAGTAGAGCCAGGTTAAGATCAGTAAGATTGAAGGAAGATCTGGCTTACCAGGGACAGAAAAGAAAATGCCATCACTGCAAAGCACACTCACCCCATATCGGCTTGCCAGCATCTGATTGACTGTTGCATCTACTGCAGCCAGCTTGACTTTTCCCTTGGTCTGTTCCTTCACCTCAGTGGCAGCAGCTGCCCATTCTGGCTCCAGACTGAAAAACAAGATGATTGGCATGCTAAGCTCCCTCAGAGTTATAGCAGAAGTATACCACATTCCAACACTCCACAGCATGCTCCACTCAGGGGGAAAATTAAAAGAGTCTGCAGAATATAACAGCTAGCTGGATTATTCCAATGAACATCCTGGATCTAAAGGAGTGAAAAGGTTAATCCACCTCTAAATCTTATTTCTATTGATAACCAGCAATTTTACTACCAAGCATGAGTGCAGCCAAAGCAAAAACAAAGTACTCTAAAACCAGGAGAAGCCCACCCATTACATTAAAAAACCAGCCAGCCAACAAACAACTTCTGATATAACCAAAGCCCCTTTCAGAGGATGAAGGGTACTGCACATAACAACAACAACGCAACAAAAACAAAGGAACTCATTTACTTTTTGCAGTGCCCACACCATGGTGCATAGAACTCCACCATCCACACATCGTCACTATTTATGACATTCTTATCGAAGCTGTCATCAGTCAGTTCAATCACGTCCTTCTTATCTCCACCTCCGCTCTCTCGGCTCTGTAAGAAACAAACAGACCCTCAGGAATCAGGCAATCAAAATGGGTTTCCCACATGAGGCATTCAGTGTTGTGTTGCACCAAATGGTCTTTATTTGAATATACAAAACAGGGAGAGTTATAGGTCAAACAGCTTTCCCATTTTAGAACTGACAACAAATGTATGCAGCCTATTCCCACAGCGCTTTCAAAAAACAGCAAGTGAACCTTTTCTCATAAACAGCATTCAGGTCAAACTAACTAACAGGAAGATGCAGGAACACTTCCCCAGCTCATCATCTGATGCTCAGATCAGCCTGAGAACAAAGTGCTCTCTACTTCCCATCACACCCACCTCTGTGCCCTGCTTTTGATACAAAACATGCGAGTGGGATATAAACCACAAGGCACAGTCTAACAAGGGCTTCTATTCTCACCAACCTGAGAATGTGGATGCAAGCAAAATGATTTTGAAATGGTAGTATGAGTCAGAAGCTTTTCAATGTATCTTCAGGGAGAAATGTAGCAAACCAACTAGAGCAGAATGCTACCAAATTTAAAGAAAACCAAGAAACTCATCCCAATGCCAAGCAGGCTTCAAGACCCTTAATCTCTGGAAAGATCATGGAGCAAATCCTAGAAGGCATTTCCAACCAATTAAAGGACACAAAGGTCATTAGGAGTCGTCAGCAAAGATTTACTGAAGAGAAAACACGGTGACTTGATAGTTCTCTGTGATGGATAACCAGTTTGGTGGATAAGGAGACAGCAGTGGATGTTACCTATCCTGACTTTGTGTGACACTGTTTTCCCTAACATCCTCTTTCAGGAACTGATAAAAGCATAAGTTAGATAAGCAGGGAGTTGGACTGCAGAACTGCTGTGTTCAAAGGATTGCAATCTTCAGCGCTAAGTACCACTAAGTCACTACTGGTATTTGCCAAGGGCCAGTACCAGCACAACACTACTTCTACATCTTCCCCACCTGGACAGCGGGACTGAGTGCACACCGTCAGCAAATTTCTCTCAGTCAATGTCAGAAGCACCGGACGGAGGTACTGCCACCCAGAACTACCTCAGTCAGATGGAGAAGCAGACCACCTCAAAGTTCAACACAGCGAGAGGTAAAGCAGTGCATCTGGAGATGAATAACTCCATGCACAGGATCCTGGTAGAGAACAGGTTGTACTTGAGCCTCTAAGGCACTCCTGTGGCAAAGAAGCCAGCAACTTCCTGTGTAGCATTAGGCAGGAGCTACCAGAAGGCTGAGGCAGGTCATCTTTTTCTCTGCTCAGTACTGGTGAGAAACATATGCAGTGCTGGGTCCAGCTCTGGGCTCCCCAGTGTAACAGAGGCATGCACACTCTGGAGTAAGTCTAGTCAGGGGGCAAAGCTGATTAAGGGCTTCATGCATCTGACAGAGGAGGAGAGGTTGAGAGAGCTGAGATCGCTAAGCCTGCAAGAAAGAAGGCTCAGTGAGAATCCTTTTTGTGTATATAAATTCTGGGTGTAAGGGAGTAAAGAAAAGCCAGACTCTTCTCCAATGTTCAGTGACTGAACAAAAAATAAGGGTCCAAGTTGAAACACAAGAATTCAATTTAAGCATCTAAGAAAATGCTCCTTCTATAAGGGTGATCAAACACCAGAAAAGGCTGTCCAAAGACTTCAGTCTCCGTAGCTCCTATGTCTTTGATACAGCCCAAAGCAAGTGCTCTAACTGACACTCTGCTGAGCAGGACACTGGACTAGATAAAATTAGAAGTCCCTTCCAACTTAGAGAATAGGGAGCACAAGCCTGTCTTCTGCACAGGACAGCCTCCAGCTAAAAACAAACCACCACATTTCCTCCAATACCTGTCTCCCAGAACTAGATCCTCCACTTCTGCCACTGAGACGGTCTTTCACCAGAGACCGAAGAGCACTCAGAGCAGCATCGACAATGGCTTCACTTGTCCTGCCACCTGCAAAGCAACAAAAATGAATCATTAAAGCTTCTCGGGCAGGCCACTGAATTAATCACAAGTGTAAGGAACAAATTCTCTCCCTTGGGATCCTTCAGGAAAAGTAGGGCTGGGCTGAGAGCAATACAACAGTGGGATGCTGACTTAAAACAAAAGCAACAAGATTTATTTTCTGCTTTTCATATATGCACTTTATCTGATGGGGAGATGACTGTGGCAAGCTCCCAATAGACAGAATGAAATGAGTATTCTTCAGGAACTGCTTACCAACCTCCATCAACTAAAAACTACTGATAGAACACATACAGCTGGTCAAACAAATCTCACCCACCTGTCTCTCTCCGTTACCACACCACCACACATGGAAGAAATGCCACACAAGCCAGCACTAACAGCCAGTATCATTACTATATTCAGGGATGCTAATAGGCATGCAGCACATGAAAGAGTATCACACTTACCCTGATAATCTTCTGCTTTGTTTTTGTTGGCTCCAAATATCTTGATAGTTGGAAAACCTCTGACTCCATACTGTCCACCCAAGGACTGATGCTTATCTGCATCTACTGCACCTACTTTCACTACACCCTGTGGAAATAAGAACTAAAACTCAGACAAACCTTCTACAGTGATGTAACATCTCATATACTATGCATGGTGGGAAGATAAGTTATTAGTAAGGTAAGAAAACAGTCACCAAATGAAAGGTGCAGCTCCTCAAAAAGCACTGAACTAGGGAACACCTCATATGCTCATTTCTTTCTTCAATCTGAGAGCTTTATATAGTTTTCTCCCCAAAAGGGAATATATATTTTACATTCCCCTTTTTTGTGAAAGACCTCAGCAAATCACTGCACAATCAAGTTTTCTCAAAAAAGAAGCACTCATCACCAACAGTTTACAAAGCTGTGCTCAAATACTCAGTTCATGCTGTTCCTGTACTTCAAAAGGAGGGGAGAAGACGGTGAGAAGAAAAAAGAAACATGCTATTTTGGGGATGGCTGGATTCTACAGTCTTGTGGTCCTCTTAAAAGCAGACTTGGAAAACAACAGTGGAAACTTACTGGGACAAAACTGACTTGCTTCCTCTACTTTTTTTTTATTTAACATTTTTAAATGGTCTTTTAACACCTGGGACAGGCTGCTTCTGCAGCAGCATAGAAGTATAATTAAACTGATACAATTTGGGGGATTTCCATTCTGCTTTCATGTTTCTAAGCCAAATGACAAACAGCTAGACTTTACTCCATTGCCACAAAAGCACACTCGTGAGAAGTCAAACTTACTTTTAATGCTGTTGCAGCTTTCTTCCACTCAGGGGTTAGTCTTTGACAATGACCACACCTTTTAAAAGAAAAAAAGGAACAGCAAGTGGTAACAGTAACATTCATTCATATCTGCATTAGTATCTCATGAAATACAGAGTCTCCTAGGGTTTGAAATTATTGAACAGCTGCACACTGCAAACCACAGCAGTTCTACCCATGAAGAGGGGAAGAGACTATGCTACATCATATTATCCCTCAGCCACCTGAAGAGAAATGCCCCTGTATTTTATATAGATACATATACACGCATGCCTCTCACAAGCCTTCCTAACAGGTAGGTAAAAGTGAACATCAAAATCCAGATTTGCACAGTCCCTTCTGCTCCTAAAATGCTGAAAGATAAAATGGCTCTGTGATGAGGACTGAAAAGTTGATTCTAGAGGTAATTCCTTAATTAGCATGAGTTTCTGGCACATCGCCTCCCACAAACATCTCCAGAAGACCCACAACTGACTGGCAACCAGCATACAATCATGGCACAATAAGTCTGAAGGGAAAGAGAAGCTGGCCATTTACTGAAACTACACTGGATTCCCACTGTTTAGCCAGGAAAGCTGCAACAGCACTAGAAGAGACAGTAGGTCAAGTCTTCTCCTAAATTGCCCAGTTCAAACACTATCAGCCTGTTGCAATGAAGGGCCCTTTGTTAGGATGTAGAAGCCTTTGGACAGAAGATCTGTGCAAAGATGGAATATGCATGATCAGACTTTACAGGCAGGATGAAGAGACTCTGCTCTGAATACAAGCTGCATGGGAGAAAAAGGCAGCAAATTAAGATCCACAAAGCCAGTATTTATAAATGGTAAGCATGCATTCAGATCTGTGCTTCACATCTGACTGAAGTTAAGACAGAACTGAAGGAGCCTTCCAACTTACCTACTGCACTTAATAAGTCATTTTCAATTTTCATTTCAGTTAAAAAACTGAAGCAGTAAATTGGCATATAAGGCTTTGTTGTTACAGCATTCACCCATTTTTCCCTCCTTCCTCCAAAGAAGATATTTGAAAAAGGAATCTCAACTACAACTGTTCTTTAGTTGTGACACCACCAAGCTCACATGTGTACCATCAGTGAACCCTGGACTTATCAGCAACAGATTCTTATGTTTGCTCTTGCAGAAGCACCAAATACACAGTTGTAATGCTCACCATGGGGCGTAGAACTCTACGAGCCACAGGCTCTCACTCTGAATGACCTCCTTGTTGAAGTTGGTTGGTGTCAGTTCTATCACATCATCACTGGCCGAATATAAACCATTCACTGCCAGGAACAACGTGCAGCTCACTGTGCCTAGAAGAAAAAAAAAAAAAATAAATCAAAACAATCAGCATTCCCGGAAACCATTTTCAGCTTTTCTGTTCACGTGGTGAAATCATCTCCCCTCCTCTAGCAAGTCTTTACATCAGCAGGAAAAAAAAAAAAAAAAAAAAAAGGAGAAGGATTCCAGCTTGTAAAACAGAAGACAACACGTGTGCTACACACCACTTACACCATAATCCCATTGAATCATATATTATATTCCCTGTGCCTACAGCTAGCTGGACCTCTGCTAAGCTGAGGATCTCAGAGAACATTCTGCCAAAGCTGCAACTCTAACTACAACTGGCACCACACAGACTTCCATGTGGATCCCCAAGATCAGCTACCGTTTTTCTTCTTCAGTTCACTCTTGTGAAACCTCCAAAACCATCCATCCATCTCTCCAGCACAACATACTCTCAGTTGACTGCACTAGCACACACACTTTCCATAGCATCACATAATGCAGAACCATCCCAAGCAGTGTTAGCACAACTATACTAATTTTAGGACCAACACCTGATGCATTAGTAGCATAACTACCTTAATTCTTTCTGAGGATGCTAATCCAGCATTGATCTGTCCGTCTAGCAACAGACTTGAGAACAGCTAAATCTCTCTAGTTAGCAACTCAAGCACCATTAGAGCTGTAACTACAGAAATCCCCACTGAAAAGACACAAGGATGCAGCTATCTGTTAAAATGGCTTTCATATTTCTTGTCACTTCTAGATCTTATTACTATTTGAGACTTTCCATGTACAAACTCACAGCACTTTATTCTTCCTTGTCAGAATTAAGAGATGACATGATGATAACAACAAGCATCTTTGTAACACAATTCATACAACAGAAGACTTTTTTTTAATCACTGAAGGCTCAGGGGAGTAAAAGCTCAGACACTGAAGTCAGAACTAGGCAGAAATAGTTGGCTTTTCTTCAAGTGACAATAATTTGCATAACAAGCTGCATATTCACTTCCTTCAAGACAGAATGAGAGAAAGATACAGCTCAGAGATGCAAAAATTCTACAGCATGTGGTACACAGACTGTGCAGTATCACCTACTCATAAGCAGCCCTGCTCAGCAAGTCAAGTTTCGTTATACATGTTCTGCAGGTGAGGGAAACAAAAAGTAACATATTTTGGGTGCTCAAAAGTCAGGGCTGAACTACAGCACTGCAAACCAATACCTCATCCACTGCATAATGCCCTTACCAGCATCTCCCAGCCCCTTCTCTCAGGGTGATCCTCACTGGTTTCCACCAGCAGACTTCCATGTTAGGTGGAGCCTGTTCCTTCAGTACCTCCTCAGGGCAGACCAGCGCACTTTCAGGGCTCAATCTCAACTGAGAACCCTTCCCAAGATGGAATGAGATGACTGAATTGAAACCAACATCATTTATAATCACTCAACAGATCTGCAGCAAACACATTCAGCAACTGAACAGAGCTCACTCAACTATTTCAGTCACTTCAATTAGAAAAGCTCTAGCTCCTGAAGATCTACCGAAGAGCACCCAGAGAAGAAAGCATATGATGAAGTTCACCAAGGCCAGCACTGGTGTGCTTGGGATTTTATTCTAACTCTCACACACGAAACATGCAAGGCTTAATCCATCCACAGCAAATAACAAGATCGTTTTCCTACAAGCATTTAAGCCTGAAAAAACACACGCCTGCGACTGCTTGAAATCCACAGCAGGTAGAAGCAGCCAGATCAGCGGCTACCCAAAGCAGATTTCTCACGTAACCAAAGCAGGCAGCCAGCAGTGCCACCAGCCCAGCCTCCAAAGAGCCGCGTTACGCCCGAAGGGCCGGCAAAGAAAGCTACTGCCGTGGGACATCACTTCGTGCCCCTCCGTACCGGAGCAGCCCCGCTCCCAGCCCTTGGTCTGCCGTTAATTCACCCCTCCTCCTCCTTCTCCCCGCCGGGCCCTTCGCGCTTCCTCCGCCAGCACGGCGGCCACAGCTCGGCTCCAGGCGCGGCCTGCCGCCCCCTCACGCTCTGAGCCCCCCACGGAGCCCCTCCCTTCCCAGCTACCGCACCGCGGCTCGCACCCCAGCCCGACCACCCCCTCAGACGCCCTCAGCGCCGCCCTTACCCCACCACACGCCGCCCGCTCCGCGCACCCCCATAGCCACAGCCGCCCTCCGTCGCCGCCGTCGCCGCTGCTCCTCACTGCCCGCCCGACCCCGCCCCCGCGTTCCCCGCCGTGGCCGCGGCCCATTGGTGGATGAGGCGCAGGCGCATTGGAATGGACCAATGGGAAGCGGCCGCGTGAGGGTCGCTGGGCGGAGGGGAGAGGCGCTGTGGGGCGGAGGGCGGTGGGCGGGAAGGGGTGGGGGGGGCGTTGTTCCGCGCGGTCTGTTGCGTTCCACCACTTGGTTTGGAAAAGTGGATATAAAACCGGGGTCACAGAATCGTGAATGTTGAAAAAAGCCACCAAGGTTATCCAGTCCAACCCTCAACCCATCACTACCACGCCCACTTATCTTGTCCCTATGTGTGACACTGGGACCCTATTGAGCAGTGAGGCAAAATCCTCACAGTGAGAAATTATTCAGTGATAGGCTTTACAGCACCTAATTATTGCCAGAGAAAATTACTGATTCGTTTTGATCTGGCTTATGAAAGGAACTGCATAGAGGTGGTACACTTTGTTTTCCATCTGTTTTGCAGCAGTAATTTGGATGGCGGTGCTCGGTGCTCTCAGCAGTCAGTCAAATGACAAACATTTCCATAGCATTAAGGAGAATATCTTGATCTACTCATTGCAAAATAAGAAACTTGTAATGCCTTTATGTATTTGGTTAATTCCTGGTGAGTTTCTATGGAAAACATTTCTACACCTGGTGATAAAGTGTTTTTATCTGGAATTGCACATCAGATAGCACTGAAAGGGCCTACATTAATACAAATAGTAGAGTGATAAATCACAGAATCACAGAATGGCCTGGCTTGAAAAGGACCTCAAAGATCATCTCTTTTCAACCCCCTTGTTGTGGGCAGGGTTGCCAGCCACTAGAACAATAAAGTGTTCTAGTTTTGTAGATAACAATGAAAACACTACAAGGATGCAGGCTATTTGTGAATGAGCTGCCTGCAGATGCAATGCGTTAAGGATTTTGATGAGTTTGCATGAGGATGGGTGAAGACAGAATACTTCAGCCAGCCCCTGAAGGAAGTCTCTGTAAGAGATTTTGGAACTGTTTCCTTTCTATTGCAGCATGACCATCTGCTGTGATACCACTGGCAAGAATGCTCATGTGATTGGTGGGTGCATGAAAAGGGAAACAATGGAAAGGTACTTTGTATGCAGAAGTTCATGAGACAAGCTATGGGGCCTGTGTTTAAAAATAGATGAAGGTCAACGGAGGTTATCCTCCTCCTCTCCTCTGCCCTGATGAGGCCACATCTGGAATACTGAGTCCTGTTCTGGGCAGACAGGGAACTGCTGGAGAGAGCCCGGCAGAGAGACACAAAAATGGTGAGAGCCTGCAGTGTTTCCCGGATGAGGAAAGGCTGAGAGATCTGGGGGTGTTCAGCCTGGGGAAGGCTCAGGGGGGATCTTATCAGTATTTACAAATACCTGAACGGTTCCTCACCCATCAGTGGATGATGTCAGGCTCTTTTCAGTGGTGTGCAGCAACAGAACAATGAGCAATGGTTACAAACTGGAACACAGGAATTTCCACACAAACATGAGGAAGAACTTTACTGTGAGAGTGACAGAGCACTGGGGCAGGCTGCCCAGGGAAATGGTGGAGTTGCTGCAGTATCTCTGAGGCATGGACTCAGATGTGAACAATCCAAATCGTTTATTACATGTTCTAACATCCCATATATACATTCACAAGTTTTCTCTTTTAACTTTCCCACATGCCTTTACATGTCAACAAAACATTCCACAAACGCTCCTTAACTGTGCATGCAGGTGCTTATTCAATCAGAGTCGTGAGTTTTTCCTACCCATCCACTCTTCCTCCAGACAGGTCATCATCAACAAGGCCATCATGCAGCTTACTTGACTTTGTTTTTCTCTTCTTCTGGAGGTGAACTTGGTTCTCAGCCTTGCGTTCTCATACCGTTTATCTTGCTCCACATCTTCTGTTCTGAATAGTCTTTTTGTATTCCCACAAGTTGCCTTCTCTGGGGATGTTCAAGATTCACCTGTTCATTTTCCTGTGGAGCCTGTTTTAGCAGGGTTTTGAACTCAATTTCTGGAGGTCTCTTCCAGTCTCTATGATTCTAAAATGATTTCAGTCTCTCCCAGGTGTTAGTATGCTAGAAGTTGGATGAAATTAAAAGCCCCGTGATTTTGAGCCGTGAATAACTTTTATAGGTCTGTGTGTAGAACCATGACATTTTTCCAATCTAATGTCTTCACTAGTGTTATTGTGCTGCAGTCTGACCACTATTGGTTATAGGAGAGAACCTGAACATTGCTGCCATGGAAAGGCAGGTTTTATTTGCAGTTCTGCCTTTCTATCTTGCTTTGACTTATGCACAATTCCATCTGGAGATCATTAGAGCAAGAGCCTGCATCATACAAGCCTGGCTGCTATGCATCCATGAATTCCATTAATTTGTCATTTCCCTGTTTTGCCTAGCCCTGTTGTAGGCAAGCCAATACCACACAGATTGTTTAGTGTAGATCCTTTTCACAGAACTTTACAAGCTACCCCTAGTTACACGTGTGCATGTTTTATTTCTCCTCCTTGAAGTGTCCCCATAACATTTGTACAGACCAGAGAGCAAGAGGAATAATGATAAGAATATGAGGAATATTCTTGTATTTCACGAATCTTGCCAGGTTCCTACACTGACAAATACACAAGAGGAGGGGAGCTTTACAAATTTTGATTGCCTCCTAACTTCAAATCTAAGAACTTCTAATCTAAAGGAAACCTTAAAGCCAGAAAAGAGAGATTAAAAGGAAAAGGGTAAGGATTGCTCCCTGGAACAACTGGCTTTGCTTGCAGCAGAGGTGGGACAGGTGCCACTTGCCTTCAGCTGGAACAGCAGATGGAGATTGAAACAAGCTGCTATCTACTTATTGAGGTTTATTTCCTGTTTAGGATGAATCTGAGATGAAGGTTTGTAAGCTTAAAGAAACCTTTTTGCTGTCTAATTTGATATACATGACCAGAACTAGCTATATTAACAGGAGAGGAAGGCATGTCGGCAGGAAACATGCTGTGAGGCCTTCACTAACTGGCAAGTATAGCCCTGCAAATCTTGCAGGCATAAGTGTCTGCTGTTCAGAGGTGCCACAGGCCAAAAATGATACATTCAGTACCTTTACTAACTGCCATTACTGTCAGCTAACATAATTAACATCTAAGAATATGTTTCTCTACTCACTGAAACTCTACTATCATGTCATGAAAAATACTACATAGGAGATTCATCCCCAGTCTTTTTTTCTCAGTTCCAGGGATTAGATCTTTAGGACACTCGGCTCACTCTGCAAGCTGGCCCAGTGCAGGCCTGTTCTCCTCTCCCAGGAGCAAGATGAAGCCAGCATAACTGCTGGCATCCTGTCCCCTTTCCAATTTTGGAACAAGCTCCAAACCTTACACGTGTGGTAATAAAAGCTTAACATGAACATCCTACTGCTCCCAGCTCTCCCACCTGCCCATGCTTTTGACCTGAGAACCCTGAAGGAGGCAATGACCCCACACAACCCACTCTGAGGCCTCACTCCTAACTCAAACTTTGGCTAGTTTCACTGAGTTTGCATCAACAACAGAGCTGTGAGCTGTATGGGTTGGGCCAGCATGTCACAGGTATTTTCCTGAGTTTAGTTACCAGCTTTCAACATTATCCCAAAATAAATATTATTTTAGCCATATTCCCCAAACAGCACCCATCATCCCTTTCTCTATATTGTAATGTATTTGGGATTAGCCTGTTACACAGCCATTTTATAACCACTTCTGGACTCTGAAAATGACACTGTAAAACCTAATAGTTTTAATGCACCTGGCCTGCCCTTCTTGTGCTTCCTGTCCCCATCTCACGTGGTGCACAAACATGAGGCTTATTCTTTATGCATAACAGCAGAAGGGATAATATTTTTCAGCACAAGGTGTTTACTTTCTTACCAGTGCTGCTAGAAGCAGAGTTACTTGTCTGGTCCTGCTTCCTTCTGTTTCCTCTGGAAGCAGTGCCAGCAGCATGTGGGGACACCCAGCTGAAAGCTAGAGACTTTGTTTTTGGCAGTGTTCATTTTCATTGATCTTAGATCCTTGGGTCAGTGTGCAAGGGACTGTGCAAGCTCAGAGGCAGAGTCAGGCAAGGCCCCAACTGTCCTGGGTTCTACTGACTTAAACTGCCATAGAATGAACCTTCAGGTTTCAGAAGCAAAAGGAAAAGTAAAATGGTATTAACGGTTCAGATCCTTGACAATGCCTCTGTGCTCACTGGAAGCTCAAGAGAAGCAGGGAAGCAGATGATGCAGAAACCTCTCAGACCAGAGGATATAGAAGATGAGCATCCAGTTTGGATTAGAAACATGAAAGCTTTTCAAATCCAGTTAGCTAATACATAAGAGACTTTCCAAAATTTATCCAGAAGGCTCCACGAAAACAAAGCTTCTTAGAAAGTCTCAAGCTTTCTAGCTTGAAGCTAGAAGTGGCACTTTCAGCAATCATGGGAAGATACTTAGTATACTCCTGGTGGATATAACAGAAAATTAAGGATTAACAAAAAGAAAAGTCACAGGGAAACAATTCAAGTAGATCAGTACTTTTTCAGAAAGCAACATGCTGAGGAGAGGACCATGTCCCATGCCATAGGATTCTTTAGGAGTACTTCCAGGTTATTGGCATTGCTGCAGGTGGTCCTTGTTCCAAGCAGGCAGTTTTAATCTCTTCATGTAGCTCAGGACTGCCTGAAACATACATGGTTGTGTCAAAGGTGGGACTGGGTGGCTTTGCAAGCCACCTTGGGATTGTCAAGAAACACAAGTGTAATAGGGATGTAATGTTCTGAAAGCTCATAGGTTTCTTGTCATTTTCAGTTTAATGGCTGGGTTGTTTTGTCTGACCATTATGGCATGGAAAAAGATCTGTTTTAAACCAAGCATAGCTGCCTTTCTTTTAGAAAAAAAAAGAAGTTTGATTTGATCACATCCCATGTAAACTGACCTGTTGTACTGAAGGGCCTTAGAGCAGACTGTAACTTACTTCACA